ATGTTAGATAAGGATGCAACTGAAAATCTCATATCTCTGTGTCAAAGAAATCCACCAGCTATCCACTCACAGATATCCAGACATTGTATCAACTTTGGTCCTTCATTAGCATAGGTGGAGAGAAACCCTCTGAATAGCTTCTTTTTTGTCCTAAGATAATACATTTTGACAATACAAAATATTCTGCATTGTTCCTCCTTCAAAGCCTAACATTCCTTGGCTTTCAGATGCCCTGGTATTAAACATGCAGAAATGTCTGCGCAGCTTTTACTGAAATAAAATGATAAAAGATGTGAGGGATGTGGGTGAGAAGGACTGAGACCCATGTTGTGGCTCTCTTATTTTCCTACTGTTCTCATGCTCCTCTAAGGCTCAAGGCTTTTGGCACTGACTTTCTCAAGGACTTTGTGACTTTTTAAATATATCAGCTATCAAAATGAGTCTTATTTCCACACATCAATGCACACATGCACAATACCCACCCATATCTCTTTAAATATCAATATTGTTTCTAATCGTACATTTGCTAAAAGAACAACATTTTAATCTGTGTTGCCAAACCACAGAACAACTAAAGATTCTCAGAACATTAGAATACAAATTCCATGTTTTTCTCTGGCAGGAAATTATTTCAGTGAGGATTTCATCTTAGCTCTTGTTCTAAATTGCAGGTGCTGTTCTTATGTAGGTCGAAGGGGCAATGGTCCTCAGGCAATCTCTATAGGCAAGAACTGTGATAAATTTGGAATTGTTGTTCATGAGCTGGGACATGTGATAGGGTTTTGGCATGAACACACAAGACCAGATAGAGACGATCATGTAACCATCATCAGAGAAAATATCCAGCCAGGTGAGACCCTTTACTGTGCTGCTCTATCTTTTAAAGTAGCCATCTGATAGTTTATGTATTTGTTCCTCTCCTTGTTCTTATGCATTATTTTTGTTATGACTCTTAAGAAACAATGAACATTTACAACTCTCTATTTAAACTGAGTGTTTATATCAGATAATTGTAACACACAAACTCCTTAATTGTAACGCAGTGAATAATTACTGAAAACAGTTGATGCCTCCTTCTGTCTCCTTCTCTTGAAACTGCCACCATGATGGCTTACTTGTGTGGAAAAACAGACACCTTGAAGGAGTATACCCCAAGGAATCATAGCAGCTGATTGTCATTCTAGTATATGGGTGTCTAAAAGTATTAACTGCAAATTAGTACCTTAAGCTCTATGAAAAACTTAACAGTCTACAAACAAAAGGGTTTCTTCAAACAACAGAACACTTTGCTTGCTGTGGACTAATCCCACTGACAGAATGACATGAGGAAAATTTTCAACACTGTATTGCTATCCCATTAAAGGCCTTATATAGCATTCACACCGATGTTTAACTTTATTAGTGGTGCAATGTGCAATACAGCCTGAGGCAAAGTCCACATTGTGTCCACATTGTACAGGCAGGTTTGTATGGGAGAGGGTGATATTTGAAATATCTTGATACCAAGTAATTTGTGCTTTCAGAAGTAAGAGCTGGCACTTTGAATTGGACCCAGAAGGAGATTGGACACTAGTGTTATTGATGCAGTCTAGCGTAATAAGGTTTATATAGTCCATAGCAGAAAGCAATCTAGGTGTGTGAGATGTAGTTTCTGAGCACTCCTGTTGGTGTTAGAGTACCCTCAGTGATAAAAAAGTAAATGAGACATTCATCTGTGTGGCTGGATTCATTTTCTCTACAATGGAGTATAATCAGCAAAACAGCCAAACAGGAATGTTCCTGGCCACAGCCACTACCTAAAAAATTCAGGAGAATTGAATTTATTCTGCAGAAGGAAAGCAGAGGTTCAGATTCAGTTATATGGTCCCACATTCTCATCTCTTCATCCCTGCATTCATGTGTGCTAGACCACCATATTGTGGCACCATACTGCTCCTCTGGAGAAATTCCTGAGCAGTGTAAGGCACAAATAGATCATGGAACAGGCTTTCAAAACTTTCAAAGTGGCAGGAGAAAAGATTGGTGAAGAAACAGTAGTTTCACAATGAGAGTTTAGAACATGGGAGCTATAATCTGCTATGGGCTTTAAAAGCTGGTTTGTTTGTTTCTTGTGGTTTATTGGGGAACTGGTTGCTGGATGTACATATTAATGTGTGACTACTGTGAAAAGCTTTGTAAGATTTGGTGCTTGCTTGAATAATAGTTGATATTACCTATTTTGTAAGGAAATGTGAAATGTTTTGGTTCATTACTGTAATGATTATATTATTGCAATGTTGTGAGGTTATTTATTTTTGTTCTTATATTGCTGTTTGAGCTGCTTTGGAACATTTTGTGATAAAGTTGGATAATAAATTAAAAGTGATTATTGTCTTTAGACTGTTTCTTATAAGACAAAGTAGATAACTTTTATTCAAAGAGAAGGGTAGGGATCTCCTTCTGTTTTGTAAGGAAGGGTTTACACAAGATCTTGCTTATGAATTACAGGTCAGGAGTACAACTTTTTGAAGATGGAGCCTGGAGAAGTTAATTCTCTGGGGGAGCCATATGATTTTGATAGCATTATGCACTATGCCCGGAACACCTTCTCAAGGTTGGAGTCTCAGGTTATACCTTTTGACTTTTAATTCCATTCTTTAATGTGTATATTCTGTAGATGTTGGTTTTATTAAGACAATTGACAAAACAAATGTATAATGTTATCACTTCTCAGTAAATAGCTAATAACTCTTCAAATGACTTTTTACAGATTCACAGTGCAAAAATATTTTGGTCTGACAATTGTTTTTGATGGATATGTCTCAAACTATGCCTCAAACTTTTGTTCTGCATTTTCTAGAAGACTGCTCTGTAGCATTCAGAATTCAACTACTTATAGTAGTGAATTGGGAATATCCTGTGCCAGGTCATGGCCACTGCCTTCAAAGCTGATTAGCCCAGTTTTGGCTATGGCAGAAATAAAGTCACATAAGGACTCTGCAGAATGCTCCTGAAGTCTTGCTTAATAAAGGTCATTGCAGGCTACTCTGAAGTGATAAAGCAGTCTGCCAGTAATAGGAACAATGTAGAATATCCCCAACCATAGTGTATTCTAAACTCTGTTGTTCATGGCAATTCTTTTTCAGTTATAGTAATTTTAGATCATTTTGAGGTTAACTGTGATGGAAGTAAAACCTTTGGAAAACAATCCATTTGTATGGTAACAAAGGGTTTTACTTTGTTCTTAAACGCAGGTCTTTTGTATATGATCAATTTACATTTTGACTATTTTTCCAAGAAGAGACAAGGTTTCTGTTCCTTGTGCCTCCCAAGGAGGTTCTCTTGTATGTTGATGGGGAAGGAGGGTAATTAATATGTCACACTTGTCAGTTCATTACAGTTTAAAAGACTTCCTCTGTTTCTTGACCATGAACATGAAAGTAAGAATTTCCTGTTATGGCTCTGTTCTCACTGCACTGATGAATAAATATTTGAGGTAAAGCTAGTTACCATAGTTATTTTGGTGAACAGCATCTGATTGAAACAGTGTCTGTAGGCATAAATTGGTGTCTCGCATATGAGACATACCAAGAAATCATGTAGTCAGGTTCCTGAAAATTAGAAGCAGCATTCTGAACCTGATTTTAATGAACTAATCAGTAATAAGAGAGCTAAGAGCTTGTGGGGGCATTTTGTTCCTAAGATTCAGTTCAAATAGATATAGTTAAAATAATTGTTTGTGAACAAATTGTCTGCTTGCTTGTTGACTGCTTACGAAGGAACAGACACTTAAGTAGACTAGTTTCCTCTACAATTGTATGGTTGTCAGCAACAAACCAGACCAATTATGCAAGCCTTAAAAGCTATGTTAGTCCAAAGGTTTAATTTCCATTACACTTGCTGTTTTTTTAAAATATTTTTATTATAGACTCTTAATTTGATTAAATAGATTGCAGTGCACAGAAAAAGAACTTTGTTAAATTTAAGGGTAGTTCAAGATGAAAATTGATTGGGTTTTCTTGGTTATTTATTTATTTAGGGGCATGTTTCTGGATACCATACTTCCTTCCCGTGATGACAATGGGATCCGGCCAGCCATTGGTCAGCGCACCCGATTAAGTAAAGGAGATATTGCACAAGCAAGAAAGCTGTACAGATGTCCAGGTATTGTATCACAAGTACACACTCAGAAAGATGTGTTACTGTAAAGTTAATGAATACTATTTGATAATTGCATGAAAGCTGGTTCCTTATTTCTTTCCATTCAAGCATGTAGGTGACTTCACAAACATTCTTAACATGGCAGACACATGGTTAAATACGAAAGTTTTGAGACTGGTACATGCACTGTTTTTTAAAGCTTATCAAGTCTTGCCAGCAGGACCAAAGGAGTACCATTTGCTGCTAATTTTCACTTATTATTTTCTTTAACAAGCATCTATTTGCTTCCTAATGAGGAGAAACATTTAAACCAGCTCTTGGATTGGTCTAAATCGTCTCCCATGTTGGGGGATGCTGGTGAAACTCTGGGAAGACTTTGGATTTGTGTATACAGTGCCTCCTCAATCTGCCCTTACCATGACTCTATATTTTAGCTCATACTATATCTTAGCTCAACTATTTCCCTCCTTGTATGACATCAAAGAGAAAAGGAACACGGAAAGATCCATTGGGTCAGGGAGTAATGACCCAAGATTGGTTCTCCACTTGCAAAGTTGAAGCTGTTTGTGGCCTCAGAAGAGGCATTCCCATCTCTCATATGCCCCTGGGCCTTTGTCCTAGGGGCTGCAGGGCTGTATTTAAAGTGTGGTAGCTTTAAAACACCTGCTGTTAAAGCATAAATAGAGTGCATCTGAATTTACTGTTTCTAATAGAAGTTCTGTGATTGTTTTCTTTAGCTGTTCACTTGATAAACGTAGAGGTGGGGAAAACATGATTCATTCTATCCACTCTTTTTAAAGTGCTGCATTTTAAAGCCAGATCAATTTTTAGGATAGTAGAATTGTTTAATATATCTTAAGAATCTTATTCAGCTGCCCTGCAGAATAATTCCCTGCATGGATTTCTGTTTTAGAAATAATGAAAGAAATGTAATTACTGTATTGTGTATTCAATATGAATACAGTTTGATCTGGACTTCTAGTGGAGAGATGAACCCTAGTTCTTTGGCTTGGACTTTTTGTTATTTAGTTTACTTTGCCCTTCTAGGTATGCTGGTGGTCACCAGTCATCATTGTTCCTATGTAAAATCCCTTTCCTGACTACAGTCTTTGACTGCACAATATAGCATATCTATTGTGTGATGTGACTGGAAAGTCTCGCACCTATAAGTTCTTGCTTGTTAAAAGTGAACCAGTTGCTACAAAGAGCCTTATAACCCACACTCCTGTTATTTATTTTTTTCCTCATACATATTTATATTTTGTCACATGTTCTTCAATGTGAATGTTATTATAAACAATTCACAGGACCTACTTATCATGTAAGCATTCCAGATACATCATGTGGAAAGAACTTGTATTAACCAGACTATATAGAAAACATAAATTTTCTTAAGGTTTTTGCAGTGATTTACCTGCTCTTGGTGAAATATGCCCCCCACACATGTGCACACACACACACACACACCCCACTAATTAGTTTTTCATGACATGAAACATGATAAAATTAGTCCATGAGGTCTGTGAATAAGTTACAATAACTTTTACTTATTTTGCATGCACATTTCTGAAGCCCAGAATTAATGAGCTGCAACACGTAAATTTTGTTAACAGAAAGCCGTTTCATAAAACTGTTCACAAATAATGTATACATTGTAATTGTGGGCAGAATGATTATGGAAAGAAATCCTCTGTATGCTCTTGTGTTGGAATTTTAATTAATTATATTAACAACTATGGAACCATTGTACTGAACTGTGCTTTTCAACTAAGAGTGTTGTTATGTTGCCTAATCAAGAGGAGGATGTGACATTTGTCAGAATTAACATCTTCTTCACAAGACATCAAATTATTTTTTTGTAGATTTCCTGTGATTTAGATGATCTAATAGCTTAAGTCATGTTGTACGATGGCAGTGTGTTCACTACAGTGTACACATTATTTTTTGAAAGTGCAATGAAGTAACATAATTAAACCAATTTAACCTTCCCAATGCAGTGTATGATTAAAGTTTTATTATAAAATATTTCAGTATGCCAAAAAATATTCTGATTTTTCCCCCTATAAGTGTATGAGCTAAGATATAGAAACTGGTTTAAGATCGACCTAAAGATCTGCATGGCTAAGTAGGGACTTAAACCAAATCAGTTCTAGTCTGATACTGTAAGAACCACTTCACCACATTGAAACTATTATTTGAGACTGGCTTATTCTCAGTCACCATTGTTTATGTTCCTAAAAGCTGGGGCTAAAATTTGTTTTTTCTTGGTATGCAAAAGATGAAGAAAGGAAAGGAGCATGCGGGGGAACCGTTTTTCTTTTTAAAGAACTATCAGATTAAAAGCTTCCTCATAGTAAACATTTACACAACATTTATTCCATGGCAAAGTGCAGTGCAGAATACACACACACACACACACACACTGTGGATAGATAGATAGATAGATAGATGGATGGATGGATGGATGGATAGAAGGACGGACGGACGGACGGACGGACGGACGGACGGACGGACGGACGGACGGACGGACGGACGGACGGACGGACGGACGGACGGACGGACGGACGGACGGACGGACGGACGGACGGACGGACGGACGGACGGACGGACGGACGGACGGACGGACGGACGGACGGACGGACGGACGGACGGACGGACGGACGGACGGACGGACGGACGGACGGACGGACGGACGGATGATTCCTGTATGTTCATGTGTTATGCAAAGGTTGGGAAGTATTATCAGGTGTGCTCTTAGAGCACATGTATGAACTCATACATGTTCTAAGAGACACTCCTTATAAGATGTTTGAACTAGAGATGGGCATGAAGCACCAAACTGGTGGTTTGCGCTGGGTCATTATTTGGGCAGACAGGTGTTTGGCGCTTCCCAGCCCTGCCTTCTTCAGTGGGCACACACTCAGAGGCAGTGCCCAGAGGACAGGGAAGCCAGGACGCTGTCTCTGAGTGGGCGCCTGTTGGAGAAGGCAGGGCTGGGAAGTGCCAGACACCTGTTCAGCTGAAAAACAAACTGGCATGAACTACTGGTTTGTGCCCATCTCTAGTTGGAACAATAGCATCTTGATGCAGATTGGGCTGAGTATGGCATGTTTACACAGAGCAATTCAACATGAGAGTTTTTTGAACACACAAGAACTAAAATAAATACAATGATTGTACTGGAGAATAGCAAAAATTAGAGTGAAGCAGCACAAATGACAAACAAATACAAATGCTATTATGATATTGACTCAAAGGAAAGAAAGAAGTCCAAAAGGGAAGGAATAAAGATCTCTCTCTAGCCACATACTCTCACATAAGAAATAGATTGGGAGCCACTGATTCATGGGGAAAATACTCCTAAAGATAGATTAGGGAAGACAAACATTACCTCTACTTAGTCTCATTAGACCAGGGGTAGGCAATTAATTTCTATGGGGGGGGTCACATGAAAAATCTGAACTGTGTTCGGGGGCCAAACCAACTTTACTTAAAAATACTGTAAAATGAAACAGTGTTATTGTTTTTATTTTAAACTTGTAAACCTTCACAAATACTAAAGAGGTTTTTTGTGGTATGTTAAAGATAAGCAACTGATCAACTTTAGACAAAAAGCTATAAATGGTTTTGATGTTCAAAACCGTCCACGGGCCGGACAGGAGCGGCTTGCGGGCCATATGTGGCCCTCGGGCCGCACTTTGCCCAGGTCTTCATTAGACCATCTTGAAGCTCAGGAGGGTTGGAACTCTTAAATGGAACAATATAAGGGAATACCTCAGCAAGAGAAAATACACTAAAAGAGTTCCTAGGCCAGAAGCCAGGATTACAGGGGAGAAATATAAGGTAACAGGATTTGTTGGCTAAATCCAAGATTCAGGGGAAGGTGGGGCTCAAAAGATTCAGGGGAAGGCGATTTGAGCTCAAAAATAGTGAGGTCAGCTCAAAGAAGTCTGGCAGAGATCAGCAGGAGGTCTTCAGCAGCAGCAGCAGGCTCAGACATAGATTAAGACATTAAGCAGCAAATATTACTACTCTATTGTGTATCTTTTCATATGGTTTCTGGCCAGGCTGACTACAGTGATCTGGCCCCTTGTGAGTCATACGTCCACTTAGCCTGTTTTGCCTTGACCATAATCTTGCACTCCTGATTAACTTTATCTCATGGTAAAAGGAGAATGGAAACATAATGTGCCATTTCATTTACAAAAAAGAAAACGATGGTCAGGCTCTAAGAAAATGTAAAGCTTTCTAGGCTGTTTGCTCTCAGACAATCCTAGTAGTTAAAAACAGAACATAAACTAATCTGTGTTCCCTCTCTGCAGGAGGGCTATCTTGTGAGATGACTCTTTGGCTGGAGTAATCATTTCTTCTGTGCATTTTTTGAATAAGAGTGTTTTTAAACTTATATATTCCTGCTGCTTCCTCTTGGGGTGTCGCTCACGTTGGACCACAGTTTCTAACTTGTACAGTACTTGTCCTTGGCCAGACAAGTTTTCAAGTTAAACAATCCGTGGAGTGAGCATAACTGTTTTAGCAGAAATGAGACTCTGCTGGGGTATTGTACAAACCTGGCAACTATCTATGTAGATTTAGATGATTGTCCTAAATAGATACATTCTCTCTTTAGAAGACCAGTCAGACTGGCAGCAGCACAAATACAATAAATAGCTGAGGGGCACGGGAAGAGAATCAGAATGAAAGAATTACAGACATAAAACATTAACAGTATACTTCTACCTTATTCTTGCTGAGTATCCAGGCTGTAATGGATAAATCTGCTTGACTTAATCCTATTAAAACCAATAGGACATTTCTGAGCATATGGTACCAGTTTATGTAATGGTTTCATACCCAGCCTTTAATGAACCATATGACCTATAAAACATTGAAGAAGAGGTCTCTAAACTAGGGATGGGTGAAGAATTAATTTTTAGAAATTTCAGTGAAAAGTGATTTGATTTGTATCTTCCTGATTGATACATGGATTAGAAGAGAATTTATCTTTTCGATTTTGCCATTTTTTTCTAAATTTTCTGACTCATTACATTGCTCAAAATGCTTTTGAAAATTGTATTGTAGGATAAAATAGATTGTTGTAAATAGGTTTTAAAAGTATATAGTGAGAATTTTTAAAGCGTAAGATAAATTAATAGAGTATATTTCCCTACACCAGCAGACCCCTTGTCGAATGATCAGTCACATGACTGCGTAACCTGTCCTGCATCTAATGCAAGATTAACCTTCTATCAAGGAACCTGCTGTAGCATGGAGGACATTTATACAGCTTATGTATTTAAATATAAGTTCCATTGATTCAGATGAACTTGATCTAATAGTGACTTACTGTGGTATGGAGAAGTTGACTTATCAAATCCCTGTTGAGTCAATGGTTCTGCTCTAGTGCATTTTACTACACTAAGGAACAGTATTTCAGCTATAAGATCATCATTAGTACAGTGGCTATTAAATATTTAATGTTTCCACAATTCCACAAAGTTGAAAATAATAGCCATAATGCAATAACACTCATGTACATAGTGGGGATAGAAGAGAATTAAGACGGAACTGCATATGCTTTGTTTGATATTTCTATTGTTCTACTTCCTATTGCTGAAAAGGCAAACTCTGTAAGGAGAAAAGGCTGATGTCTTTAACTGTGAGTGTAAATGGGCAAAAATGCTATGCAGAACTATAGTTCTTTAACTTGTACTTCAGGCTGACTTGGACTTGGAAAACCTTAGACACAAAATCATGGAGCTCATATTGACTATTTGATGTTGGTGCATGATGTTGGTAGGATTCTGGATGCACAGGTCTCAGGTGATTGGTCTTTCCTGTATTGAGGGCCAGGCCTAGACATTAGTTTGCTGAGGCATGTATTTTGCACAAATTTCAATTTACTCAATATAAAAGAAGTTGTCATGTTCTCATGCTGGAGGCAAGAAGTTACCTGAGGGTCAACAGACTTTTAGCAGGCTGCTGCAGTGTGTGGAGATAGCCTGTCTTATCAGGAACAAGTAATTTCCCTCCTTTCGAGGAAAATATTCCATTTCTACCGGATCGGATCATTTCAATAAAATCTTATGAATGAGATAATGATCATTTTGGCCACATTACTTTTTATCCTTTTATGGTTTTATTGATGTGATTGGGATTTGTAGCAGAAGTCGTCTTGTTCCTGTACAAGTCTTTTAAACTTTAAGCAAATCTTAATTCATTACAGGATTATTTGCAAAGCAGTCAGCATGGGAAACCTCTAGATATCAGTTTCTGTAGTTTAACATTATGGCTAATGATTTCAGAGTTAAAAATAAACAACTGGTTATTAGCTATGTTATTTACTGTCATAATGGCTGGTACTGAATAAATTATTTAGTACATAAATCATCCTTGATTAGATGTCATGTGATTTAAGTGTGATTAGAAAAGCAAATAGGGAAAGATTTTATGCTAAGCCAGACTTTCTCTGCTGATAGTGCAAATTACATTTTGACCTTTAAAGTAATCTTCATACCATCCTTTCCTTAAAATTATCTCAGATACTATTGTAATGTTGCAGCACAAAATGTTCTGTAATATTGAAACCAGAGCTTGGGAAAAATAATATTTTTTTGGCTTCGGTTCCAAGTATCCCTGGACAATGGTAATGCTGGCTGGGGGATTATGCAGTCAAAAAATAACCTTTCCAAAATTTCATTCAATTTTAGATAAGGTTTAGTAGGACAGTGATGATAAAAATGTATTTATTGTCTGTATTTATGCAAAGCCTAGATACTTGATTTGGCTTCTGTTAGTACCTGTTTAGCCTTCTGGCATTTTGAATTTTTATTTTGAAACTGCTGTTGTTAGTAGCAAGGTGATCAGTTCCAATACCTTGTGTTCAGTCATATTACCAAATCAACAGAAGAAATAATTTGTTCATTTAAGTGGCAATCCTATACTGACTTACATGTGAACACTTTTTGTTGAATGCATTGTGGATTGCTTCCCGGTAGAAAGAGGTTTGCTCTGTTGAGTCAACTTCAAAAATAATTATAGGGGTTGATGTTGTCATGATAGATAGGTAAGACAGGTTATGTAATAACAGAGCAATGAAAAGTAGCTGTCTCGTCATTATAATTGCTTTAGTTTTATTATCAGTGTTGCTTAGAAAATATATGCATAGTTATTTTATCTAGTTTAGAGATTCTGTGTTAATGTAAATATCATCTGACATGAATCAAGGACTGGAAAGCTGCTAAGTGAAAATACAAGTTGGCCCAAACCCTGTTGAGGAAATTATAGCTGTGTAAGGATATTGATGTCATCAGCAGGGAAAGGTGCTGGTTATTAAAGAGTTCCTGGTTCAATCCTGGGGAGCTTGCCTGGCTTGCTCATATTCAGTGAAATTGTAGGAAAGTTGGGTGAGCCCCAGAATCAAAGCAGAAGCTATTTAATAAGCAGATAAGTCTCCTCCTGTTACTGACATCAGCATTCTTACACAGGATTTTGGCCTGTAATTTCCACCATCATAGCAACCACTTTACTTCTTTATGTGGTGATCTTACTCTGGGGGAAAAAAGCTGTGTAAGAACATTTTGACTAAGATCTGACTAAGATGTTAAGGACTGCTGTAAGTTTGATTTTGATTTCAATGTAGAGAGGAAAGTATATGGAATTAACACTTTTGCGAGAAGAAGGTGAACAGGGCAGACAGTTATGCAATTATTACCTTGAATAAGGAATCATTATGTGATTGCATGTAGTTCTCCCACTGCAACTGTTGAATCACAGAAACACATGCTACTTTCACTTCTTCAGGCAACTCCCAGATTCTATAATATTCACTTTCTTTCAGCATGTGGTGAAACATTGCAAGAGTCTACAGGCAACTTTTCCTCTCCAGGATTTCCAAATGGCTATCCATCATATACACATTGCATATGGAGAATTTCAGTGACGCCTGGAGAGAAGGTATTTTGCTCCCACAGACATGTAAATTTTTATTTTGTTTGTTCTATGTTTTTCTAATCTTTTTTTTTTTAAATAGATTTTAACTTCAACATAACACTCCACTTCAATTAATGTTTGAATGACTTCCCCACTGGGTTTTGAACGGCATAGTCAATCATTTGATTTGGATTCCTGTTAGTTGTATAGCAGATCCATTATTTCAAGCTCCATGTGAAACACTTCCTAGTGTTGAAGTGTTCATGTATGAAAATCTATCATAATTTATATCCGTAGTGTCAGATTGAGCACTAGGAAAGGGTATGTAATAATAGGCATCTTCTAAATATTTTTGTCTTTAGTAAGTTTTATTCTAATATGTGATTTATGTGATGGTATATTAAAGTACTGCATGAGACAATAATATAGTCCTTAGAATATTATCTAATATTAGCAAACCTGTGTGTGTATCAACAGAAGAGGACCTCTGCTGGCAGTGGGAGGCAGGTCTGCCCTAATAGCCCCTGGGATGTTCATGGAAATTCCCAATCTACACCCCTTGGCAAACTTCCCAGTAAGCTGCTGGTGCTTCTGGCACTAGTAGGTCCCAAAATGGAGAGTTCTGAAACAAGGTATAGAAGGCCAGAGGCAATCCAGGGCTAATTCCAAAAGGCCCTAAGTTTTGGTTTCATTCAATTTCATTTCCACATTTGTAGTCTGCCATATATTGCAGGATCTCGGGGTCACTTACAGAGCCATGTAAGACAATTTAAAAATATACAGTATTTAAAACAATTTAAAGTTGAACAGTTTGAAACTCATGAAATGTAAACATCAGAACACCTGGATTAGTGCAGCAGTTTTCCTCACTTATGAAATAAATAGGATTGAGGGGCAGACCTGCTACCAACAAACACTTGTTAGTCTCTTATACAAACACCACCTGCCTTGCTGTGTGTGCATGGAGTACCACGTTGCTTATTCCACAGCCCTAAACACACTGCCCAGAATTGTGTTGGGTATCAGCAGAACGTTGGGCATCAGCAGAACTCTCCTGGCACAGTGATCTCTGGATTGTGCAAGCAGTGGTCCCATTTAGAAATACCCTAATGGAATTGCACAATTATCATGAAAGCCAAATTATTTACACCAGAGTCACTGTATGAGCAGTTTGACAGAAAAGGATGCCAAGCCAATGACTGAGGAGTTAGCCCTACTGAACATGAACGTAATTGTTTTATAATATTATTTATTTATCAGTTGAATTTGAAAAGTACTCATAACTCTTCAATATACAATAAAAACACAATAATAGTAAAACTATATTTAACGATTTTAAAAGCCAAAGGCATGGCGGAATAATACAGGTTCGCCATCCTATTTTCAAGATGAAAAATGGAGCCCATTTCACTTTCCTCAGAAGAAAATTACATGGCTGAGGTACTGCTGCAGAAATAGTCCTTTCCCATGCATCCAAAACCCTGTACCTCTCAGAGTGGTAGGAAGCACCATAGGGCCTCCAGGGAAGCTCTAAAATTCTGAGTAGACACATATGGGAGGAAATGGCCTCTTGAGATACCCTTGCCCCGTGTCATTTTAGGCATTCCAGAGCAAGACCTCAGTTTATATTCCACTCTTCCTCCAAGGAGCTCAAGGTATTGAAGAGCAATATAAGTCAATTCAGCCACAGGTTGAATACGTTTTCCTTTTCAAGTCCTAACACAACATTCTAGTCAATGCAGTAAACAGTGATAATTTCTTAGATGGATATGAGAAATGGTCTATCTAATAATTGTACTCTTAGATAATTTGAGATCGTAAGACATGAGGCAGTTATACACAGTTTACACAGGTAAAAGAGCACATTTATGAGTTAATTCATGTTATGAAGTGGCTGGAGAGTGCTGAACTTAGATAAAGGAGAACGTACCTGAAATCTCTGCTCAGCCATGAAACTTTATGAGTGACATTGGGACAGACACTTTATCTTACAGTAAAATCTCTTGGAGGGTTGTTCTGAGCACAAAAAGGAGGCAGCAAGTAGTTACATTATGCTGAATCCTTTGGAAGAACAGGAGCAAAATATAAACATAATAAAACAGTGCTACAATTTATGCTTGGCTTTGTGCACACAGTGTAGCCTCTAAAGCAGGTTACATAAAATATTTTCTGTAGACATTCCATTCATGTGTTATACAGAATAAAATAAGGTATCCAGTCTTACAGCATATACTCTCAGTAGCTTAACACTACCATACTGTAAAAAGAAAAATGAATTGAAACATTATTTTGGCCATCCATAATATCTAACATTTTCATTTATCAAAGGCAGAACTCTCCCAGAGATCACAAAAGTTATATTTGTCTTTTACTTACACATAATAATTTTAAGTGGAGCAGCTATTTTCAGTCATTTTCCTATAAAGAAACTGCATGCACTACACATTTTCTCATGTTTTGTGTAGTTTTCTTAAGATGAGCCTGGTCATTTATATATATTTTTATACTGTATTGTGGGCTTTGGAATGGAAATGTATACTCCATTATTCTTCACAGAACTACTGTACACTTGCTACTACTCAGTTTGCTTACTAAGCCATTAATTTCTTAATTGTGCTGACAAATGGACATTGATTGTTTACTTCTGGGGATTTGCAACCATCCTGTCCTCTTGAACTGTTGATCTGTTTTGTATCCAGATCGTATATATCTGCTGAGTTGCAAAATGGAAGTTAAAATAAATTTAGGTTTATTCCAGCCCTGAAGTAATGTAATGTTTAGCTTTCGTGTTACCATAGCAATGAAAAATACCAAAGCAACACTGAAGGATTTCAGTATACTTTGAGACCCTGTGTCCAAGTTATTATATCTCCTTTCTAAAGCTGCCACACCTCTTATCCTGAATGGTCATACTTCTGTGTTGGCTTCTCTTATTTCCGTATCACAATAAAAAGAAATTGAGTAAATAGGATTTCATTCATCTGATCTGACTTATACATTTTAAGAAAGAGAAAGCAATTTGGCACTGGAATTAAAGTACAACAAATTCTAGAACTTGTTTTCTTCAGTTTAGATAGTTTAGATGGTTATGCAATTCTACTTACATTTAAGAATGGTAATGTCAATGCAGCTGACAGCGGTCTTAAAAACTGTTTTGAAAATTACACTTGCTACATTCTACACTGAAGCTTGCTATGTATTTTAATAAAATAAGCTATTGTTACATATTTTCTGCCAACAATAAAAAAATAAGTATAACTTAGATTTCCTAAAGCTTTGTGGTTATGAGAAGAGATTAAACACGTATTTACTAAGTGTGTCAGTTTTTCAGTGAAAGCCTTAAGACAAGAGTTCAGCAGTGTTGAGCATGCTTTAATCCACTGAGTTCAATGAGCGTGTGTTTAACTTTCTTGTGGCAGTGGTTGACAATCTTGTACACAGTTTAGTTATTCATTTTATTCCTTAAATGTTTGGATTCTAATCCTATACAGAATAATTCATGGAAAGAATTACATCAGTCATGATGGTATAGTCACTATCAAAGATGGAAATATGTAGATACCTACTGGCATCAGTATCTAGTGGCATCTAGCATCTGAATCTGGCCAATATGATTTGGATTACTGTAGAACAGGGATCTCCAAACTTTTCACATTGAGGTTCGCATAGTATGTTGTCCATATTTTTGAGGTCCACAGGAATGTGCGTGGCAGGCGTATGATTATGCATGCCTGCCCACCCACACTCCTGTCTGCCCATGTGCACACCTGCACACATGGGCCAGACAAAAAGGCAAGGCAGGCTGAATGTGGCCTGTGGGGCGTACTTTGGAGAGTGAGTCAGAATCTGAGGCAACATTGTGTCACCAAAGGGCAGCAAATTATTATTTATTTTCATGGATATCATATTTCTACTGTCAAGGATAAAGGAGAGAGGCATTTTTAATATTTTTTGCCTTATGCCAAAATAAGTTGGCCAGCTTTGGGTACCATGTTACTTAACTTGGTTGTGTGCCACAAACTATTTGCTGTTTTGTGTGTGGCCATATCTGGTTACAAGACTGATAGATCTCAGCCATAATAGATCTTCAGCATCATGTCTATTTTATACACATATACCATCCATGTGTCCTTTAATTCATTTTCAACAAGGTGATAGGAGTGAGGGGAGAAACCATTGCTATGAAGGATATAGGTAACAAAATGACTAATCCTAAAAATCTCATTAATATAAGGGCAATAACATATGAAGTAGTGTCACCTTTCTTAAACTTTGTAGAACTTTTCTTCCAGTGATACAGGAACTTTTCTTCAAGAAGTACAGTACTAGAAAATAAATCATACAGGAAGCCATTAAACAAAAGAAGAAATGATAGGCTTGATTTTTTTTAAAAATCATTAAACGGTGATGTCCATTCTGTAGCTTAATGTATTTTGAGTGGTGGCACTGCGGGTTAAACCGCAGAAGCCTCTGTGCTGCAAGGTCAGAAGACCAGCAGTCGTAAGATTGAATCCACGCAACAGAGCTCCCATTGCTTGTCCCAGCTCCTGCCAACCTAGCAGTTTGAAAGCATGTAAAAATGCAAGTAGATAAAATAGGTACCACCATAGTGGGAAGGTAACGGTGTTCCGTGTCTAGTCACACTGGCCATGTGACCACGGAAACTGTCTACTGACAAACGCTAGCTCTACAGCTTGGAGACGGGGATGAGCACTGCGCCCTAGAGTCAGACAAGACTGGACTAAATGTCAAGGGGAACCTTTACCTTTACCTTTAAGCTTCTTTCTATAATAGTGATGCTTCCAATATAGCATTTACAAGCATTTAAAAGCCCTGCACAATGTGATTTAATAGGGTACATGTGCATGTGGTGTGCAGTCAGAAAGCATTTAATAATCATTTAGGCTCATTGTTTGCATTGTACTTTCCTCTTTGCAAGCAGAGAAAAAGATTACCACACAGATATAGATGATCCATACTGTTGCCAAAGTAGCTGAAAGGTTGTAGTATGAAACTAATGGTTTCTTTTATAACAAATGGTGATGAGCCAATTGTTTAACCAATGCTAATCATACCCTTAATTTTACAGTGATTATTTAATTGTAGTAGGTTAGATTCTTCAGCTATAGCTAGCAAGCATACAGACAAAAGAAGCTCTTTATATTGAATTAGACTGTTGTTCTATCTCATCCAGTATTGTCAATACTGACTGATAGCAACTGTCCAACATTTCAGGCAAGATTCCTTGACTTAGCCTTATCTGGGGATCCCTAGTATTCCCTGGTGGCTTTCCTTCTGAGTACTAACGAGGACTCACCCTGTTTAGCTTCCACAATCAGATGGGATTGGTAGCACCATTGTAATCCTGAGCAGATTTAGTCAGTTGTTTAGTGCACTGGTTCTTAACCTTGGGTTACTCAGGAGTTTTGGACTGCAACTCCCAGAAGCCTTCACCACCAACTGTGCTGGCTGGGGTTTCTGGGATTTGCAGTTCAAAAACATCTGAGTAACAAAGGTTAAGAACCACTGGTTTAGTGAATGACAGGTGCTTTTCCAAGGAATTATTATCTAAAACCTCAAAGATTACCTTCAGCAAAATATTGCAGTGTTACTCCAGTGTGAATTTCTTATTTTAGCCTAGGCATAGTTAGATTTCTCTCTAATTATGCCTAATTAGCTGCGATGGCCTTTGAATGTCTCAAGGCACTATCAGGCACTCTTTTCCTTTTAACAGAAGCCTTTGTCACTAGCTGTGCTGGTCAGGTTATGGGAGTTGTAGCCAAGATCATCTGGGGACCCAAGTTTGGGAAGTACAGCAATGCAATCAAATTACTATTAGAGGGAAAGCAGATACCAACGTGACAGACAATCCAACTTCAAATAGCCAGGCAAAGAGAACAGTCTTGGAAGACCTGCAATTTTGGTGTCAGATGTATCTCTGAAGGATGGGAGGACATGCTACAGCAGAGACATTTCTCTTCTTTATTGTCACAATCATGCACTGAAGATAGCTGAAGAAGAATCTCCCTTACTGATATTGGGTTGATATAGGAAGAAGAATTTGTTTAGATTGGCTTGGATAGTTGATCTGTAGTACAGTGGTACCTCGCTAAACGACGACCCTGCTAAATGACAAATCTGCATGACGATGACTTTTTGCGATCACTATAGCGATTCGCAAAACAGTCATTCCAATGGGGGATTTGCACTGGACGTCGATTAGGTTCGTGCTTCACGAACCGTTTGTTCGCAAGACAATGATTTTTTCGGCTTTGCAAAATGGCTGCCCTGTGTTTTCCGGACCCATGCTTCGCAGGGCAGACATTTTTACAGCTGATCGGCGCTCGCAAAATGGCTTCCCTATGGGCGATCTTCGCTGGACAACAAGGTATTTTCCCCATTGGAACGCATTGAACCGGGTTTCAATGCATTCCAATGGGGAAAGTGTTTTCGCATGATGACGATTTCGCTAAACAGCGAGTTTCCCAGGACTGATTATCGTCGTCATGCGGGGCACCACTGTATTGTTATAGTTCTGTTTAGCTTTAAATGTAACCAACATAAAAATCAAAGGAAGTAGGCTTTGAGATAAATGTTTGTGGTCCTGGTAGGTAAGATGACTTCTTTTGAAACCATCAGACTTCACATAGTAAAGAATTACAAGATCAGCAATGGAGGAGTGAAACTAGCACATTTTTTGCTTCTCACACATCTATTGAACCCATGCAGACTACATCTGGGGAGGGCTTATATCTACAATGAATGTCTGAACAAGAGGAAGCACTGTCTGCATGTACGTAAGATTCTGTGCACAGTTCAGGTATAAAAAATAGTGAATAAACAGCAACACCAAATTGCCCAGTATATCTCTCTCAGGTCACAGTAAATATGCAACATACAAATGAGTGTTTTCTGTATGAATTCTGGGGTGTGAGGGAATGACATGCTCTTGTGCCAAGTGCTATTTAAGCAGTTCTGGTGTCACTATCTAAAAATGTGTGTTATGAATGGATGCAATCTGTTATGTTCATCATGACTAACAAGATGACAGCTCCAGATCCTCATTACTGCAGAGGGAGCTTAGTCAACAAATTAACAGTTCCCTCCTCTGCTTGTGTGTCATTTAGGGACAGTGGGGGATGAAATTGCTCTCTCTGTGGTTTTCTTTCCCTCCCCAATCACACATACAAATTTAGATGACTGTTCAGATGTGAAGATTTTTTTTAATATTGGCCATTCTTATTTACAAGTTAGTATGAACAAGAATAGTTTTCTGGTTCAGATGACAGATGACAACTAATTATATGGCATCCCTATCTTTTTTGCACTCCAGATTGTTTTAAACTTTACTACAATGGACCTCTATAAGAGCAGCCTCTGCTGGTATGACTATATTGAAGTAAGAGATGGCTACTGGAGAAAATCACCTCTGCTTGGTATGAGTGTATTGGTTATGATTAATATTGAATAACTGCAACATAAGAACAATGGGAAAGTCAAACAATCCTGTAACGATCTATTACAAATAATAATTGAGTGCTGTCAAGTCGATTCCGACTTAAGTGGCTCAGCTAGCTGACCCATGATATATTAGTTCAGAGTACTTCTTCAGAAAGGATCAAGGGATATTTGGGATATACCCAGTGAGAGGGATGTGTGCCCTCTGATGTGCTGACAGAGCAGCATGTGAGAGAGATGCTCCACTTTGTGATGAATGCTTCATGTGATGAGCCATAAGTAACATCCAAGTTTCCTTTGGTGTATTGTGGGATTGAGCGTGTAGTAGAAGAAATGTGTTTGTCTTTCCTGCACAGCTTACTTCTTGGAACTATTGCTACCAGCATTCCCTTGTCAGTGGTCATGCAGGCTAGGTGTTGCTGGGAGATGTAGTTCAAAAAGCAACACTTCAAAGCTCTTGTACATAATACTTTCTCCCTTGTTGGGAGAAATGTGGCATATAAATAAAACTACTACTACTACTACTACTACTACTCCTACTACTACTACTACTCCTACTACTACTACTACTCCTACTACTACTACTACTCCTACTACTACTACTACTCCTACTACTACTACTACTCCTACTACTACTACTACTCCTACTACTACTACTACTCCTACTACTACTACTAATAATAATAATAATAGTGCCAACAGTGAGTAGACCCCTCTCCTAAACCAACTTGGATCATGCTCAATAATTTAATATCATGTGGAGCAGCTGTAAGTAGACCTCTTTTCAAAAACATAAAAATCCAGAATGGATTTATGTACTTAAGCTTTTACTAATGACGATTTTTCTAAGAATTTCAAAATAGGTATCTTTACATAGAGCTCGGTGATTGCCTGGGTGATATTCATTAAGCTTATGTGTAATGTTAGTATCCTGCATTTGAATTTCTGTACTCGCAGGTTCTGCTTTGTAAAGATGTAATTTTTATGATTCAAATACTGAAATCTCGTTCATAGCATAAGCCAAGTCACAACCTTCCATCCTTTCCTCCCTAATAAACAAAGCATTCCCACTGCAATTCTTGGAGGAAATATGTTTATGCACCAAGCCATGGTGTGTGCAGCCCCCTCTGAGAATCATAGCAGGGTCACTTTGTTTACCAAAGAGGAACAAACTGAAAGTTACGGTGTGAAAAGGATTTCAGACAGAATGTATTTTCCAGACTTTCTATTTTGTTTTGTCCCAAATTTTAGAATTCCTGTGTTATTTTAAAGATCTGTTATAGTTTTTAAATTGGATATATAAGCTTTGAAAATCAGCCTGCCTAAAGCAGATATGTGTACCTGAAGTTACTGGGAAGTTCCTACATTCTCGGCAGAATTATTATAGGTTTTCTCAACTATTACGCAGTGTATGAGACTGAAGGGTTTGAGGGTTTTTTTAAAAAAAAACCCTCTCAAATTCATTTTCACTCCTGTTCTGTTCTTTTCTTTTTCTTTTTTCTTTTCATTTTCTTTTCTTTAGGCAGGTTCTGTGGTGAGAAACTCCCAGATGTCCTTACCTCTAGTGACAGCAGAATGTGGATAGAGTTCCGTAGTAGCAGTAACTGGGTAGGAAAGGGTTTTGCAGCCGTTTATGAAGGTGAGTCTTTCTGAAAATTGACTGGGGCTGTATTAGCTGAATGATAGCTTGTATATAATTTACACTCAATTAAATGAATGGGTAACTGTGCCCCAAATTCAGTTTAATATGGAATGGTGTATAATGCAATATCTTCTTACAACAGGTGCCAGCAAAGGGGTGGTGGAAAGGGAGCATTCTTCTGAATCGTTGTACGTTTAGCTGCTTTTCTGCTCATACAGGCCACCTCCAATTATTTTTCCTTCTCCAAAACAAAAAATAAAATCAGAATGGACTTGAGCATATGCTTAGTTTTCCCACTAAATACTCTGAATAATGTTTAGTGGGTTGTACCCTATATGTTTATTTCATGTGTGTGTGAACAAGATATAGTGAATACTCATATATTTTCTCGTTCTTGTTGAAATGAGTGTTCTAGCAAAACAGGCAATCACTGCAAGATTTTTATCTTCTATATGAGAATGGGAAGATGAACACTTTTTAAAAATCAGTAATACAATTATTAGTTTTTGCCTGAAAAACTTGTATTTTATGTTTAAAGCTTTCGATTTTGTACAAAGCGCAAGGCTTCCTGCACAAAATACATGGTTTATTGTGCAAAATGCAGATTTTTATGCAAATAAATTAACACTTTTTTGCAAAAAAAAATCTGAAATGCTTCTAATCTTACTCAGCAGGTAGAAAAACAGCATTTTTTCATGCTTGTCTGCAAGAACCATGTAAACCCAATATCTCCATCATGTGTATGTGTATGTGTAAGTGCACAGAGATATGTACACATACGTAATCACACACAAACTTAGTGTTTTACTTTATTTATTTATTTATTTATTTATTTATTTATTTATTTATTTATTTATTTATTTATTTATTTATTTATTTATTTATTAGATTTCTATCCTGCCCTTTTAGACAAAGTCTACTCCTGGCAGATTCCATCAAACATTGTAAAGTAAAACAGTTCAAAACAGTTTGAAACAATACTAAGTAGTGCTCAAGATGGGAAAACAGAAAATTATAATAAAAATAAAGTCAAGTATTGACAGGAGGGAAGGCCTGCCTAAAGAGACAAGTTTTTAATTGGCTCTTTGTTAGGTTTCTACATTCTGTTACTGAGTATGTGTCAGGTGCCACTCATCCAGTTGTTCCCTTACATGGCTCATTTATTTCAATGTTCCTTATGTGTTCAAATCTCAGTGAAGGGGCCAGCCTTTTCTGAACAGTAATAATGACATTTTTCACTCCTAGATAAACATGCAAGCCATGGCAGCATACCAAGTTCTGCATGCTAAGGGCTTCCTTTCCTATGAGAAGGGAATGTTCCATGCACAGATATTTCCCATTGTGTATGCCAAGCGTTTCTCTCTCATAGAAGACAAAGGGAAGCCCCTGTATTAGTAGGTCTTGGTCCAGACGCTCAAGCTGCTGGGTCATGTCCTATGGCTCCAGTCCAGCCTGCAGTTTACGCATACGGATTGCAGGCTGGATTGTCGTCTGTACTATTAAATGGTTTTAAACTATAAACACTGTCGAGTGGGGGAGTCAGTAGTGCATTTGTAGTGTTTCCAGCTTTCTCCTGGCGCAAGCATTTTCTACTTATTGTTGTTTTCAAAAGAGGAAAAACATAAACATTTAAAATGTGTATAAGTGCCCTCTGGTGTATTCTTCAGCAATTTGTGGAGGTGAAATACACAAAAACGAAGGCCAGATCCAATCTCCTAATTATCCTGATGACTACAGACCAATGAAGGAATGTGTGTGGAAAATAACAGTGTCAGAGAACTACAATGTCGGATTAACCTTTCAGGCGTTCGAGGTAAAGCTTTTTAGCTGATACGAGCAAACCATCTCATGGATAAGTAACAGTGCTGTTTAGGGGAATCCTTAGTAAGCTAATGAAGAAACAATGCATTCTGTATAGTCTACACTGTACAGTTATTATTTTCTTTCACTGACACTTTTCAAATTGCATACATTTCAAGACAAAGGCAGTTTATGTTATGTGTGTTACTCGAATTGCTTAAAAACCTGAGAATAGTTTATTTTTGACAAATCTCTGTTCTGCAAGGCTTCTCTACGAATACTGTATCTTAAATAACAGGGGAGTTATTTCTTTTTTTAATCTATTTTTTTAAAAGAAAGTGCTGTTATTTCTCGATATTAAATATAATTTGAATTTTATCACAGACTTGTTCAATAGCCAATTTGTTGCAGATTACATAAAAGTGATGTGTTTATATTTTAATACTTCCAGTTTACTTCTGTATGGTGTTAGCTGCTATATGTAGACTAAGTTTGCTCATGGTGAATGATATGACACAGTCTAGGTTAGGAAAGTCTTTTTCATACAATTATTAAATACCTCCAGGCAGTATAAATGAATGTGTGTGTGTGTGTGTGTGCGTGTGCGTGTGCGTGTGCGCGTGTGCGTGTGCGTGTGCGTGTGCGTGTGCGTGTGTGCATGCGTGTGTGCGCACGCCTGTATATAGGCAGGCACACCTGTGTATAAGTAGAAACTGGATTTCATAAAGCTAGTTATAAATACTTTATGTGAGAATTGATCTTTATATCCTGCTTGATATATGGATTTTGCATATTTCATTTTAGAATAACATTTATACTATGCTATTTTATAAGTTTCACAACAAAGTAAGTTTAAGGCAGCTGAGTAGAGAATATACAATTGCACAGTAAAGAAGGACAGTATCAAAGAATTATAACAAACAGTCTGATTCAAAAGATGCATGTTCTGTGGAAGTTAAGGGCAAAATAGTAGTTTTCGCTGCAGGAAGGCCCATAGAAAAATTATGATTCAATCCTATAGTGCATATTTTTATGCATCCATTCAGTTCCCAGAATCTCAATTTCTCAGGTAGTAGAGCCGAGAAAGGCTTTTACCCTAAAATAGGAATGGTGTCTGTCAAGTTAAACTGTCCCAGATCAGATGTTCTAGTGGCCTTAATCAACACGGCAGCATCACAATACAGTCTTATTGTCTGTGTCTAAGTTAAAGAGTTAGCCTGCCTGTGACCTCTGTTACTGTCAAATGCCAATTGTCCAGTGTTGCCCCAGATCACTGCTAAGCCTAATAGACTAATATTCAAGCTATCAGGAATCAGCTCTGGAATCTAATAGCAGGAATCACACATGTTTACATTTCCTTCCTTAATTGCTGCAAGCTTCAGTTTTTGGTTCTGATTTAGCTATGCATGTACCCAAGAATGTAAGACTGGAAGACTCTGAGTACGCACAACTAGATTAGATCCATTAAATTAATAGAGTTCACATACATATTGACTCACCGCTCAATAGCTTATTAAGTGGGACTGCTGTACCGAGGACTAACAATAAGATTTGCTGCATCAGAACAAAAACTTATCTAGTCTGGTGGGAGCTTCGTTTTTGTATCCCTGAGGATAGAACTACAAAGTGTGGCACTACAGGTGTCACAGAATCCGCTCCCTCCACCTAGAACCAGCCCAGTCCACTCCCTGGGCTCCATGTGAAATGCAAGTCCATCATCAGTGACATCACACTAGTCATGGAAGTAGCCCAGCTGGCACTTCCCTACCTTTCTGTGCTGCTGCCCACTCAGCAGCTGAGTGGGTAGACCTGTCATCCCACCTCCTTGCTGGAGTGGTCAAGCAGCACAGGGAGGCAGGGAAGTGCCAGCTGGGCTACTTCTGTGATTGGCATGGTGTCCCTGACAATGGATGCATGTTGCACACAGAGCCTGGTGAGTGGACCAGCCTGGTTCTGGGGGGGGGGAGGGAATGGACCTCTGTCGCACCTAGAGTGCCATGGTCCGTATTCATATCCTCAGGAATAGGAATACAAATTCCCATCTCTACTGGTACTCTTTTCACACAATGCCCAACCAGTTGCCAATAGGAATCCTACAGTCAGGGCATACTGTAAGTGGAATAGAACATTCCTGCTCAAATTGTCCAGCACCTGATATACAAAAATCATACTGTTTATAGTACTGGAAGTTGTATAGTTTAATCATGACTAATAGCCACTGATATCTCTGTCTTCCATGAATCTGTCTAGCCATCTAAACGGACAGCCATTGCTACTTCTTGTGGTAATGAACCCCACAGTTCAAGTACTTGCTGTATGCAATGTGTGTCCATCTTTACAATTATTTCCTCCTCTGCTTCTGATTGTGATATCACTACCTCTTGAAGCCAACATAATATTAATTTCATTTTACAACTTAATGTCAGACAAATTCTACTATAATATTCAGTATGCATTTGCACTTGGAAAGTGTACGCCATAGATCCATGGAATCTTTTCTGAGTGATGCATAAACGCTATTTATAATGTTAGAAAGTGAACTTTAATATTCAATATCATGCTCAGCTTCCACAATGTTTAATTGCTGTGTTAAATTTACTTTCAAAAAAGATGCTTATTTAAATTTTGCTCAAATACTATTTTGTATTTTCAGATTGAGAGACATGACAATTGTGCCTATGATTATTTAGAGGTCCGAGATGGAATCAGTGAAAGCAGTCCGTTAATTGGCCATTTTTGTGGCTATGATAAACCTGAAGACATAAGATCTACCTCCAACACCCTGTGGATGAAATTTGTTTCTGATGGAACAGTCAACAAAGCAGGGTTTGCTGCTAACTTTTTTAAAGGTACTGTAACCTTTTTTGGAAAGTAAGGATCTAGTTGCACTTAGCAGTACAGTACAAATAAAAAGCAATAGTAACTTAATTACTGTTCAGACATTATTTATACCATCTGTCCTTTCATAGCCATCTCCTTTATAGCAGTGAGAACAGTGAGATCAAAATTGCTGGATAGCTCAGTGGTTTATCTGGCTACGGAGCCAGAAGTTGGATTTCAGTTCCCCACTATGCCTTCTTTACAGTCACTCCATGATCCACAGGGTCCCTTCTATCTCTGCAGTTGGTGAACCAAACCAACAAATACATACTGAAGTACTTCTTAAAATATTTAGCAGAATTAAAAGGTTTTTTACTAGGCATCAGACTATAGCCCCCAGAATTCTACAGAAATCTTCCCAGCCAGAATCCAGGGATTTTGACCCACAAATCAAAGTACCCTCAGGTGTTTTTAATTGCATATAGCTGAAGAATAAAGACTGTATCAGACATGATAAATCTCCATGAAGATGGAGGAAGTGGCTGGGTGGGGCTAAGCTCAGTGGGAGCTACAAGGCAGTAGTTGCCCAGTAATGTCACTGCCCATTATGCTCTGCGTACCTCTCTGGAAGCATCAACCTCTAAATGTCTTGCAGCTCCCAGAGAGTGTAGCCCTGTCCAGTCACTTCTCCCTCTTCATGAAGATCCATTATGTCTGACAGAGCCTCTACTTTTCAGTTGTAAATGGCTGAAAACACTTAAGACGATTTTTATGGTTTGATTAATGCACCAAGAATTCCTTCTGGGGGCTTTAGTAAAAAAGAAAAAAAAGGAGGGGGGGGGAAGGCCTTATTCTCAAGTATATTATTCTATCATAGATTTTAAATGGAAGATTCAGAGGCAGTGTATGTGGCAAAAGGACTAGGCAGCACTAGCATACAGTACTATTGAGTTGCATGTAAGTATGTCATGCTGCTTGTGGAAACAATATGACATTTGTCACCTCCTCCATCTCTTCCTCTGATTCATCTTCATTCCTTTAATATTAGTAGAATAAAAATACAAGATCTGAGAATTCTGTTAATCTGGAGATGAATATGAATTCAGGATAACGTACAAAGAAGATAAAATGCCCTTTGAGTGACCCTTTCAAATTTTCAGTCTTTCTTATTTTATACTGTCTTTAAACTCTTGCAAGCAAAATTGTTATATTTTGGCAAAAGAATCCTTTTGTTGTTTAGTCTTCAGGTCGTGTCCGACTCTTTGTGATCCCATGGACCAGAGCACACCAGGCCCTCCTATCTTCCACTGCCTCCTGGAGTTGGGTCAAATTTATGTTGGTAGCTTCGATGACACTGTCCAACCATCTCATCCTCTGTCGTCCCCTTCTCCTCTTGCCTTCACAATTTCCCAACATCAGGGTCTTTTCCAGGGAGTCTTCTCTTCTCATGAGATGGCCAAAGTATTGGAGCCTCAGCTTCAGGATCTGTCCTTCCAGTGAGCACTCAGGGTTCATTTGCTTCAGAATTGATACATTTGATCTCCTTGTAGTCCAGGGGACTCTCAAGAGTCTCCTCCAGCACCACAATTCAAAAGCATTAATTCTTCAGCAGTCAGACTTCTTTATGGTCCAGCTCTCACTTCCATACAACACTACTAGAAAAACCATAGCTTTGACTATGCAGACCTTTGTTGGCAAGGTGATGTCTCTGCTTTTTAAGATGCTGTCTAAGTTTGTCATTGCTTTCCTCCCCAGAAGCAGGTGTCTTTTAATTTCATGGCTGCTGTCACCATCTGTAGTGATCATGAAGCCCAGAAGGTGAAATCTGTCCAGCTCTCACTTCCATACAACACTACTAGAAAAACCATAGCTTTGACTATGCAGACCTTTGTTGGCAAGGTGATGTCTCTGCTTTTTAAGATGCTGTCTAAGTTTGTCATTGCTTTCCTCCCCAGAAGCAGGTGTCTTTTAATTTCATGGCTGCTGTCACCATCTGTAGTGATCATGAAGCCCAGAAGGTGAAATCTGTTACCTCCTCCATATTGTCCCCTTCTATTTACCAGGAGGTGATGGGACCAGTGGCCATGATCTTAGTTGTTGTTTTTTTTTTTTTGATGTTGTGCTTCAGACCATTTTCTGCGCTCTCCTCTTTCACCTTCATTAAGAGGTTCCTTAAATCCTCCTCACTTTTTGCCATCAGACTGGTATCATCTGCATATTTGAGGTTGTTGATATTTCTTCCAGCAATCTTAATTCCATCTTGGGATTCATCCAGTCCAGCCTTTCGCATGATATATTCTGCATATTAGTTAAATAAGCAAGGAGACAATATACAGCCTTGTTGTATTTCTTTCCTAATTTTGAACCAATCAGTTGTTCCATATCTAGTTCTAACTGTTGCTTCCTGTCCCACGTATAGATTTCTCAGGAGATGGATAAGGTGGTCAGATTTTAAATAGTTCAACTGGAATTGAACTCCACTGGCCTTGTTGTTAGCCATGCTTTCTAAGGCCCACTTGACTTCACTCTCCAGGATGTCTGGCTCAAGGTCAGCAGCCACACTATCTGTGTTGTCCGGGACAGCCAAATCTTTCTGGTATAATTCCTCTGTGTATTCTTGCCACCTCTTCTTGATGTCTTCTACTTCTGTTAGATCCCTCCCATTTTTGTTCTTTATCCTGTCCATCTTTGCACAAAAGGTTCCTTTAACATCTCCAATTTTTTTTGAACAGATCTCTTGTTTTTCCCTTTCTATTATTTTCCTCTATTTCTTTGCACTGTTCATTTAAGAAGTCCCTCTTGTCTCTCCTTGCTATTCTTCGGAAGTCTGCATTCAGTTTTCTATAACTTTCCCTATCTCCCTTGCATGTTGTTTCCCTTCTCTTCTCTGCTATTTGTAAGGCCTCGTTGGACAGCCACTTTGCTTTCTTGCATTTCCTTTTCTTTGGGGTGGTTTTTCTTGCTGCCTCCTGTATGATGTTACAAGATTCCAACCTTAGTTCTTCGGGCACTCTGTCCACCAAATCTAGTTCCTTAAATCCATTTTTCACTTCCACTGCGTATTCATAAGGGATTTGGTTTAGATTATACCTGACTAGCCCAGTGGTTTTTCCTACTTTCTTCAGTTTAAGCTTGAGTTTTGCTATGACAAGCTGATGATGAGAGCCACAATCAGCTCCAGGTCTTGTTTTTGCTGATTGTATAGAGCTTCTCCATCTTTGGCTGCAGAGAATATAATCAATCTGATTTCGGTATTGCCCATCTGGTATGCTCTGCGTAGAGTTGCCTCTTGTGTTGTTCGAAAAGTGTGTTTGTGTTGACCAGTTTGTTCTCTTGACAAAACTCTATTAGCCTTTGCCCTGCTTTGTTTTGAATTCCAAGGCCAAACCTACCTGTCCTTCTTTTTATCTCTTGACTCCCTTCTTTATCATTCCAGCCCCCTATAATGAGAAGAACATATTTCTTTGGTGTCAGTTCTAGAAGGTGTTGTAAATCTTCATAGAATTCGTCAATTTCAGCCTCTTCAGCATTAGTGGTTGGTGCATAAACTTGGATTTATGTGATGTTAAAAGGTCTGCCTTGGATTTGTATTGAAATCATGCTATCATTTTTGAGATTGTATCTCAGTACAGCTTTTCCCACTCTTTTGTTGACTATGAGGGCTACTTCATTTCTTCTACGGGATTCTTGCCCACAATACAGTGGGGTCTCGACTTACGAACTTAATCCGTATTGGAAGGCAGTTCTCAGGTCGAAAAGTTCTTAAGTCGAATCTGCATTTCCCATAGGAATGCATTGAAAACCATTTAATCTGTATCTGCTCTTTTCGTCCATAGAAACTAATGGGAAGCTGCTATTCCGCCTTCTGCCACTAGAGGGGGATATTTTTTCTTTTTTCCTTCTAACCTAAGATGACTTAGCTTTTAAAAAAAGGAAAAAAAAGAGTTTGTAACTCGAATCTAAGTTCGCAAGTCGAGTCCATATATTCCTATGAGAGCGGTTCGTAAGTCGAAACGTTCATATGTCGAGCCGTTCGTAAGTCGAGACCCCGCTGTAGTAGCTATGGTAATCGTTTGAATTGAATCTGCCCATTCCCGTCCATTTTAGTTCACTAACGCCCAGGATGTCAATGTTTATTCTTGCCATCTCCTGTTTGACCACATCTAGCTTACCAAGGGTCATAGATCTTACATTCCAGTAAGTTTTTTTTTAAAAAATGCAGGTTTTTTTCCCAGCATTGGACTTTCCTTTCACTTCCAGGCGCGTGCACAGCTGAGAGTCCTTTCAGCTTTGGCCCAACCACTTCATTAGCTCTGGAGCTATTTGTACTTGTTCTCCGCTCTTCCTCAGTAGCATGTTGGACGCCTTCCAACCTGAGAGGCTCATCTTCCAGCGTCATATCTTTTAGCCTTTTGTTTCTATTCATGGGATTTTCTTGGCAAAGATACTGGAGTGGCTTGCCAGTTCCTGCTCCAGATGGATTGCGTTTAGTCGGAACTCTCCACTATGACCTGTCCGTCTTGGGTGTCCCTGCACGGCATAGCCCATAGCTTCTCTGAATTACTCAAGCCCGTTCACCACGACAACGCAGCAATCCGTGAAGGTGAAAGAATCCTTAGCACATGACAATTTGTGCATAGATTTTATAGTTGCATATGGTGCTTGTCTCCAGAATGATCCCCTCAGAGCATAACAAGCAGTAGGCAGAATGGGACACCCACATATAATGATGCTGGGTTCCTGTTTCTCAAACAAGAGGAAGGAGAAAGCTAGAGCTAGCACAGCACTTACAGACTTCTTGTTCCCCTATAACTACTGGTCATACGTTTTCATGTGCACTCCAAAGGGAGGGAAGAAGGGAGGGAGACAGAGCTCAGTTATGCCTTCTAGAGGTTTCTCAACATATGTTCTTGGGCAGGGTAGGACCAGACACTTTGAATTTATAGTGTGACTTTTAAGTAGCTTTTGAAAAATGAGTATTTTCCCCCATAGTTATTGGGTCCCCAGAACACCTCTTTCTGCAGATACAATTGTATTACACACATTATGAATTACAGGAAGATATTAAAGGAATATCCATGTGTGTTTCTTTTCTATAATCAAGGATCAAAGAGACAAAGTTTCATTTTAGTGTAATTTGATTCCTCCATCTTTTCATAGAGGAAGATGAATGTGCCAAACCTGACAATGGTGGATGTGAACAACGGTGTGTCAATACGCTGGGCAGCTATCATTGTGCTTGCGATCCAGGTTATGAACTTGGGCCTGATAAGAAGAGTTGTGAAGGTACAGCTGTGTGCTGCTTTTCAGTGTTCTAGAGATTATACAGCCATATTGTGTGACACAGGCTCAGTGTTAGGTATTTTGATAAGGGGAATATCACTCTAGTTTTAAGCCAATGTGCCAGGCTCACTGATTTTAAGCACGTGGATTTAACATACAGTAGGCACATGCCACAATGATATGTTTGTGAAGCAATAGATAGTAATGTGAGCAGTTAGTTTTCCCACAAGTGTACATGTGAGCCTTCTGGTCAATCAGTAGTTCCGCGCTTCTTATTCTTTGTGAATCTTCCTCCTCGCCCCAAAGTAAGAAGAGGGGTCATGGGGCAGAACAGAGTCACTTACAAATTCCACATAAAGTGTTTCCTATACAGTGCAGAGAAAATGTCTATGTCAGAACTTGTGTCCATAACTCACTATATACAGAGGACATATATCAGGGTGTAGTTATGAAATGGCTCTGATTTTTTGTTTCCTTGAATCAGCCTGTTTGGATCTTATTACATAAGTGGTTCATGTTCAGAGCTTGTGTGGGGCTCTGCAACTAGCCACCTCTCCCTGATTATATTTACAAAATATTGCAAAAGTTGGGTCTGTTGTTCAGTCTAACTGCTTGCATGCACCCAAAAGTGGCTTTATGAATTTGTAAGTAATAAGTACTTTTTCTTTCATTTAAGCGGCTTGTGGAGGACTTTTGACAAAGCTGAATGGGACTATAACAACACCAGGATGGCCCAAAGAATATCCTCCTAACAAAAACTGTGTATGGCAAGTGGTTGCTCCCACCCAATATAGAATCTCAGTGAAGTTTGAATTTTTTGAATTAGAAGGAAATGAAGTAAGTTACTGTGTGCAGAAACCTATACCTGATTATATAGTCAATAGTAGGATAATTGTTTAAGATTGATATCTTCTACAAGTGCTTTCTTGTAAGGAGTGAAAAACTAGTGGTGCTTTTTTATTTGCTGTACATAGGGCTACACCTGAATAACTTTGAAACAGATGTAAACATTTGTGCTTTCTTTTTTGTTTGTGAGTGATATGTTGCTGTGTATGTGCAAAAGAAATTTAAAGTAAATGCTTTCTGCTGTGTTTCAGTTAGCTTTATAAAATAAATGAAACATAGGAAATATCTGGACCTTCAGACTACATAAGACACTTAAAAAGAGTTGGGATGCTGACTTAAAGTAGACTGTGGCATTTAATGATACATAGAGAACCAGAAAATAAAAGTACCATATTTATTTAACTTGCCCAGACAGGAATTAAGGAATTATTGTAGCCATTTACAGGTATTTTGGAAATGGAAACTTTTTGAAAGGAAATTAATATTTTAGTAGAAACAGGCAATTGCACCACGGAATTCACTACAGATGTTGGATCTTGCTAAAACCCACAACTCCTTTCCTCAGACAATATGTTGAAAATATATCTATTAGACCGGCTTTGAGAAGAAACTTGACAAAGTAGACGCAGATTATTATTTTGTCACACACTAATAAATTATCCTACTCAAATGTGGTCCATCACCATCCCATTCACTCTGGCAGTTTGTTATCCTCTCTAAGATCTACATTTCATTGGCTAAAATCAAGTAGCAAGTCACAACTAGAGTAGGCTCATTGAATCAGTGCAGATTTAACACCTTTATTTGTTTGTTTAACTTATATGCCACCCACACTACCCAAAGGTCTCTGGGAGGCTTACAACAGTTAAAATACAGTAAAAAAATGAAACAATTAAAATACAATTAAGATATGTATTCTAAAATTGCCACCAGGACCCACAGTTGATATTATTTCAATTAAAAGTCTTGTGGAACAGGACGGTTTTACCTGGCGCCGAAATGTCATCAGCATCGGTACCTGGTAAATCTCAATTGGGATGGCATTCCATAATCTGGGGGCAGCTGCTGAAAAGGCCCTTTGTCTACAAGCCATTCGTCTTGCTTCCTCAAAGGACTGCATTTATAAGCTGCATTTATTCAATAGACCTACTCTAGTTTTCACTTGCCACTGCATTTCAGCCATTAATATATTAATTAAATGCAGTGGTGCCTTGCTTAACGACGTTCATTCGTTCCAGCTAAATCGCTGTAGAGCGAAAACGTCATAAAGCAAAAATAAAAAACCCATTGAAACTCATTAAAACCCGGTTAGTGCGTTCCAGTGGGCTAAAAACTCACCGTCCAGTGAAGATCCTCCATACGGCGGCCATTTTCGGTGCCTGTATAGCGAGGAATCCGCCCCTAAGCACAGCGGGGAGCCATTTTGATCACCCGGCAGCCATTTTGAAAACCCGACGATCAGCTGTTTTGATCGTCATAATGTGAAGAATCGGTTCCGAAGCAGGGAACCGATTTTCACAAAGCGAAAAAACCCCATTTAAAACATCGTTTTGCGATCGCAAAAACATTGTTGTGAAACAGATTCGTTGTAATGCAGGGTAATTGTTAAGTAGGGCATGACTGTATATGTTGAGTGTAAATTGAGGTCTTACTCCTACACAAATTACAGCCCTTGACCTAAGCATTTATAGACTGCAACATAATATTGCCATAATATGTCAGTCTCTGTTGCTTCTAACTTACAAAGGCTAATGCCAGAGACATCTTCTACAAGAGAACTTAAACTGATTTCTTCCCCACAAAGCCATCTTTCCCAGGAAAAATGAAGCATAATCTCTTACTTATTTGATTGAATCATTTGCAACAACAAATATGTGATTTTTCCTTTGAAAGCATTAGTATCACATTAATATAGCTTTTTTGTATGTATAGACTTTGCAATACAAGCAACATAATGAAGTAAGAGAGATATATGAAAGTGTAAACCTGGATCATTATGACTAAATCAAGAAAATCTCTAAGTACATCTTGTCGTTTCTGTTATGACTAATCCTGGATCTTTCATCTTTCAGGTGTGCAAATATGATTATGTTGAAATCCGTAGTGGCCTATCTTCTGATTCCAAACTACATGGCAAATTTTGTGGTACAGAAGTGCCTGAAGTTATTACATCCCAACTGAATAATATGAGAATTGAGTTCAGATCAGATAACACAGTTTCAAAAAAGGGTTTCAAGGCTCACTTCTTCTCAGGTATTAAAATAAATGCATCACTGTTTATTTATTTATTTATTTGATTTATATCCTGCCCATCTGGTATATTCTACCACTCTGGGCGGCTAAAATAATTAAAATAAATGCATCAGACCTATGTATATGAATGTTTTCTTGTTTGCTGCGTCTTTTAATCAAATAAGTTTTTTGCTTACAAATTTTGCACCACAGTGGACAAGATGAATGGCCTTTTCTTTAGTGTGTTCATTTCCAGTTTCCTGATGAATTAAATAAATTAATTTTAAGAGTAAGATTAAGAGAGACTGGGACTCTGAGAAAAGATGTATAAACAGATTCTGAATACCCCATTTATCATCCTGTTAATTTTCATTTTATTTTTGTAAATAATATTGACTTGTGATTTTAATCACTTTGGCATCGTGTTTATTCATTTTCTATAAATGTTGGAATTTTTTCTGTGTTCTGATGTTTCTGTTATGGATAAGATGTGTCCCCACAACAGAAAAGGGTTTTGATAAATTACCTGCCTGGTAGATTTTGAATATAAAATTTAGTGAAACAATTGATAATACATTTTCTCTTTACCTTTGATCTAGCTATTTTAGTTCTTTCTGGACCACAGTCTTGCATATTCTTAACTGAAAAATTCTATTAATAATGGGATTTATGTCTGAGTAGATATGACTCAGAATGCGTTGTTAATCTATGGGAAACCTAACTTTGTTCATAGTGTACTATGTCTCATTTAAAACACCTTTCTTAAATTGGTTTGCTAATGAGGGTAATACACAAGCCAGAGATTTCAGTGTTAGATATTATTAACATTTGAATCTATGCAAGATTCCCTTTTACCAGACAGGAGTCTAATAGCTCCACTGTTCATGAAGTCTTGGTACCTTGCAACAGACCAGAGCATTTGAACTATTCTGTATTAAGTCGATAGAATTGCATAAATTTTAATGTAAATATTGTGAATTAATTAGAATTTTAGAGTATAATTGTATTTTTGTTACATTTTACCTTAAATGTATCAACACAATATAAATGAAGAAATAAAAAATATACTTCAATGAATATTTAACAAAAACACAACAGATTAATTGTACCAATTATAAATATTACCCATCAGCTTATTATGCAAACCGAAGAAGTCAGCAAAGGAGTAACCATATGCTTTGTTAATGTAATATATAAAAACACCTCAGGTGCAAAATTCATCAGGAAAAAAGATCTTGGCTTTTCATTTAATGATAATACTTGATGTTCCATGAAAAAGGGGCCTCTCAGGTTTCCATCTCGTCCAATATGAGTGAGTTTAAATACATGTTCATCATGTAAAATCTCTGACATAATGAAATTAATATAAACAGCTTTTAATACTATTCCATAAGAATCTATGTCATGCAGAAGTCTTCTATTATTTACATATTGAATTACATTCTAAATGTCAGCAAATCAATTTTACACATAGCATTTTGGATAATGTCTGAATCAGCATGTTAATATTTAGGGACATGATTTTGCCAGAATTAAATTGGAATAATTAAGATTTAACATGCTTAAATCTCTCACTAAAATCTGTGAAAACTGAAGCCATTTAACTTCAGTTGATTGTGTCAGTAATTGTCATGTGTGTGCTCCATGTTAAACCACGTGCCTCCTATTTAAGGACAATATTCCCTGTTTCATATTAATGTATTTTAAGATTGTTTTGTGTTGTTTATATATTACCCTAAGGATCTTGGCTTATGAAGCTGTGCAGTCCTCTTGAGTAGCTCCTGTTTATTTCAGTGGAAGGTGATTAAATGCAATATGTAAATGTAATTCTGATAGCATGTTGTGTAACCTAAAAAGGTCAGCTTCTCTAACAGATTATTTATTACAAGAAGTATAGTTATTTCAAAAATTCAATAAAGGAGACACACTATCTGGCAGAATGTGTAAAGACAGGAAAGCTAAAGGTTTACAGACCAGGTTTCTAAGAAATAAATGATTGCTTAGAACAGTGGTTCCCAACCTTGAGTAACTCAGGTGTTCTTGGACTGCAACTCACCAGCACAGCTGGTGGTGTAGGCTTCTGGGAACTACAGTCCAAAAAACACCTGGGTTATCCAAGGTTGGGAACCATTGGCTTAGAACAACCATTCTCAATGTGGGCCATATGGTCCCTGGAGGGCCACAGACTGGAAACAGTTCTTCACACGCCATGTTATAAGGTTCATTATGCGACTTATACAATCTTTGGCCAAAAAAAAAAAAGTTAAGAATGGCTGGCTTGGAGTATCTCAAAAAAATCTCTCTTTAAATAATATTTGTTTTGCTTTAGAACAGTGGTCAGGGAACAGGGGTAAATTACCCCAGATGGGGTAAAAATGAAAATCCTGAGGGTAATGAGGATGGTCACGGCAGGCATTTTACCCTCAGGCATTTTATTTCTGACGATGGTGTGTGTAGGCAGGTGTTCCGTCACGGGGAAAGCGAGCCCTGGAGAGGAACTACACAGGGCACCCACCTGCCCTCCTCGCCTCCAAAGTGGGGGGGAGGGTGGCGTACCAGGTCAACTGGTCTCTTTATCCGGCAGAGCCCTGGCCGGACCTCTCCTTCCTGCCCGTGCCCACCCACCCAGTGCGCTGGTGAGGAGGCCCCCTTCCCTCCCCGCCTCGCTTGAGCTCATGGCCAATGGACCTGCCAGCCCTGTGGTGACCCACCCACCCAGTGCGCTGGTGAGGAGGCCCCCTTCCTGCCCCGCCTCGCTTGAGCTCATGGCCAATGGACCTGCCAGCCCTGTGGCAACCGCCTCCCCTCACCAAGGATGTGCTTTCTCGGCGGTGGGGCAGCTCCAGACTGGCTACCCGGGCGGTGGCCACAGGTCCCGGGTAAGCGCAGAGGCAGGCTGGGGGTCTGCCACAGATGGCAAGAGCCGGGGGGTAATGTTGATGTATATAAAATTTTGGGGGGTAAAAGGTAAAAAAGTTCCCTGACCCGTGCTTTAGAAGGTCTTGAAAGGACTGTATGTTATTTGTGGGTTTTTAATTGTTATAGTCTTTTTTTCTATATTTCCTTATATTGCCATTTTAGATTACTATTATGGAGGGGTAAAAGCAAACTGCTTATTTCATATAATCTATATAATTTACATATTAGATAATTAAATTATGTTTACACAAGCGCGCACACACAGAAGTTCATTATACTCAGTGACTTCCATTTCATTAATATAAACTCAGAAAAAAGGTCTGTGTAAGAAGATCTTAGCATCTTTGCATGTGACAAACAATTGTTTGATTTATTTTTTGATTATTTATGATGGATGTATGGACTGGGTATGTGAATAATTACATTCAGCCTAATGTTGGAGTTCAATACAATCTGAAACACAATGGGAAGTAAACCTTGGGCCACAATGGGGAACTTCAGCACAAACAGAGGAAAAAAACAAAAATTCAGAACTGCTAGGGGTGTCAAAGAAAATAAATGGCATAACTATACGCTAAAAACTATTTCTCCTTTGAGAGAAAGGAGAGAAAGAAAGCGCCAAACACCTGTTCCGCTGAAGTATGAACTGCCATGAACTGGTGGTTCCTGCTCATCTCTATTCAGAAGAAATGAGAATGGTAAATAATAACTGAAGTTCTCTTGCTCATCATAATAATTTGCAACTAAATTAAGCCCATTTGAATCAATGGAAGTTATGGAGGACCTGATTTGCCAGATGCCCACAGATTCAATGGCCAACTTTGGTTATGAGTTATTACACTAAGCAACAAGATTTCAACTAATATATTGTTAAAGTATAGTTAAATTATAATACTGAAAAAATGATCTAGAGTCGGGGTCCCCAACCCCTGGTCCACAGCCTGGTACCAGGCCATGGCCTTGGCAGGACCAGGCCACAGAGACAGATCTCCTGCCCACACTGCATGTACGCCCCCATGCATGCACACATGCCCTCATGCACGGGTGCCCTGCCCACCCCTGTGCACATGTATGGGTGCCATGTGCTCACAAGCGCCCCCACTCGCATGTGCGGGTATGGATGCCCCATCCACCCACACATGTGTGCGTGGCTCCCCTGTTCACCCGCATATGGCTTCCACACACACTCACGCCACCCCCAACCAGTCCGCAGTTTGGAAAAGGCTGGGGACCACTAATCTAGAGGATGTTTTGCCCATCTGGCCTAATTCATGTGGACTAGAGATGGGGATGACTCACCATTTTGGCGAGTCATCCCACTTTGTCAGTCGTCAAAATTTGATGACTCATGAAGCATGAAGTTGCCCCCCCCATTCCCCCCTTTGTGGGATTTTTTAAAGCCGCCCCTGACCCACCACTGCCACTGTTTGTACCTCTTCTAGTCTGGTCCTGAGTTGCAACCACAAACTAAAGAAAATAAGAGGGTATGACTCTTGAAAAATATAGTGAAGGTGGCTCTCTATGGCCATTGTATCCATAACAAGGAATGTTAGCATATGGGTCAATACTGTTCCTTCAGAGCAGAATGGGCTATGGGCCCTAATGCAGAGCCATCTGGAGGAAGGGACTTGCCCCTTCTATTAATAATACTGAAAGGGAGCCATAATTAATTATTTTTAATTATGTTATGTGTGTTTAATCGGAGATTGTGATGTGTTGCTCTTTTTTTAAGTTTCTGAAGGCATTTCTTTTTTCTTTCTTATTTTTTTGGGTGATCATCGAAATAGGTTGTGGTTTCTGTTCCACTAAAATTCATTTTACTATCATATGCAGGTGTTTATTGGCCAAGGTGGGTGGGAGTGGGTAATCAATATGTAATGATTATTCTACCCTTGAGCAGATTGATGTTGGAACAGTCACTCATTTTTGGTGCCATCCTGGTACGTTTTTCCCCACAGACAAGAGAGCTGCCTGCAAGGAGAAAATTTTTGTTTTTGAATCATGCACGGACTTGATACAGGTTGCCCCTTCAGGCCAAGTACGTATAATTCACAGACTGGCCTCTGAGAGTCTCAGAGGTATGACCATATGTCTTGTGAATAATTAAAATCTAACAAATTGTTCAGAATGGATCTTTCTTTTTAGAGGTATTAACAGGCGAAAATACAGAGAGGATCCATTCAAAACTGGGAGATTGATTTCCATCTTTTAGCACAACAAATGATTTGCATTTAGCCAGCAAAACATTTGTTTCTATAACTAATTTGCACTAATTATTTTCTTCTTCTACAAATGTCAATCTTGAATGCAAATTACGGAAAGTCTGCACTGGTTTATGTAAAAATGTAGACAAGATTTCTGTTGCACCAGTTCATTTACAGTGCCAAACTATTGCATTCTGTTGCAATGTCACTTTCTTTGTGTTATCACTGCACAACAATATTGGAGAAGGTGTTAAAGTTATCCCTTAATTCAAACAGCTTAAGTAAACACTCATTAAGAAAAACACACCTTATTTTTCCTTCACAGGTGTTTTTATGAACAAAGAAGGCCCTGCTAATTTCTAAAATATCAGAGCTACTTATACATGTGTTTGTAAATTGTATTAAGTGGTTTTATTATGCATTTGATAAATTTTTTAGGCAATTAGTACTATTGAAACACCAAGGAGAAGAAATCTTAAACTACTCACTTTCTGATCTGTTCTCTATCATTTCCCTTGCCTATTGCTTTTCTCCGGTTGCAGGAGAAAGTTTGTCATCGGCATTCTTTTGAAAGAATTAGAAAGCAAATGCTTTCACATTCATTGGGCAGGTCTATACTCTTTCTCCAGGGTTTAGGATGAACTTTCAGTCTTCAGTTGGAGTCATGCCATCAATTAATGTTCATTTATTTTGGCTGGGATCCAGTGGGGCTGCCTGGAAGGCTTCTTTGCATGCATCATGTCTTTTCAGACATACACAGAGGGCTCTTCAAATACAGGTTTTCATAACCAATGCGATCACAAGTGTAATGTTATATTAAACTGCAGCTTAGAATTTAGATAGGTTAATATTTTCAGAATCTCTCAAATTGGTAATTTACCTGCAAAAAAAAAAATCTGTGTATGGCAGAAATTTCACACAGAATATGAACTTTTTAATATCTTATATGGCATTGTAACACGTGTACACTAACTTGATTTGGTGCAGTCATTTTATAAAATAGGCTTTCCACAGGAGATAGTTATTATTTGGTTAGTTGTTTTAGAAATGCTGGGCCAGATGGTGAAAAGAGAGATGGGGCCACTGAAAAAAGTAGTAGTGGGAGATTTTTCTAATTCTTTTTAAACTTATTGAAGAAGAATGTATGTGTTACATGTATTTCAACATGCAGCTAGTTGAAGTGTTTGATAGTGAAGCTGTTTTGTTTCTTGATGGGTTACTGCACACAGGAATACAATATTCAAGGAAAGTAGACTTGTAAAAAACAAATGGCTTGTGTATCTGCAGTGATTTCATCTGAACCAACAATGAGATGGAATAACTGCATGCTTGTCTTTTTCAAAAATGCACTTTCCTTCACTGTGTCCTGTGTATGCTTTTCAGTGCAAAATGAGGAGCTCTTTGATGTAACTATCAAGAGCGCTCAGGATTTTAACTTGCTGAACTGACAGGGCCTTGCACACAGCTGGTATAATATGTGTCATTTTGAATGTGTTTCAGGCATAGGTCTTGCCAGTTTCGATTTAATGGGTCAGCCCCACCTAAAATAATAACAGCTGAATGGGGGCAGCTGATGCCTCTTGCAAGAATGGCTGCCTGTTAATCTAGTTTGGCTCTTTCCCTTGCAAATGAATTCTGATGCCATTTAGTTCAGCTCATGTTACCAACACTACCCCACCCTGCTTTATGTTTAACGTACTAAAAGCTCTTTTAGAGGACTGCTACTCAGCCAACAGGATAGCGCCTGCTATGTTGTACATTTTCTTGCAATATGTAACATCTGTTTCTTCCATGTGGGTACTCCAATAATATAGTAACACTGCAAGTTCCTGTTAAAACACTGTAACATATAATAAGAGTAAACTATTTTTAATGCTACAACAAGTACTGGGGCCTGGGCCAAAACCATTTTAGACCATTTTCTTCGTGCCTCACCATTGGTGGGAGGTGCAGTGCTGAGGGGAGGAAATAGATTTCAGTGTAGGGTAGAAAATATTCAAGGAATTTTCATAGAGAAGGGGGCTTATTAGAAAGACATGTTCCCACACAATGCCTCATTTAGAATGATGCTACATCATGACGCAGTGTCATGTCAGAATCAGAAGACAAAAAAGGGGGGGAGACATTTAGTAGATTATTAAAAATTAAAAACAGTAGCTAAATTTCAGTTCCCGGAGGAGTCTCATAGGCTGGGCATTACAGAGCTGGGGGTGGGGCTGCAGAAACATAAACGTTTGAAAAACATGGTTGAATGTTTGTAGCAGTTCCTCTGTTTAAAGCTAGTTCCAAAATGGCTATAGCAAAGTCAGTTTAGATGGGCAGGTTTCAGATTTCATCTCTGTGGATGTAGATTACAGTGTCCTTCCTAATCTTGTTAGTGTGATGAAGACTCCTTCACAAGTCAAAAGATAGCTACTGTTTGCGATATTTTTGTGGTCTAATAAAGGTATCGCACACATTTATCTTTGGATTTTGTGTGGGGCTACTGTTTGCGATATTTTTGTGGTCTAAAGGTATCGCACACATTTGTCTTTGGATTTTGTGTGGGTTTTGTTTATTTGTTTTTTGTTTTTACACTTCAGAGATATTCTGGGGAAGGTATAGCACACCAGACTGGCCATTGCCTGTTTGATAAATTCAGAGTTCCTTGAAGGTTTCTTTAAAAATCCTTTCTTCCCCTATTTTGCAGCCAGAAGACTGTGAAAATGAGGAAGATAGCATTAAAAAACAAACTCAAATCATTGTAGTTAGCCACAGATTTTTTTTTAAATCATATGTTTAAGAAATAGGCTCCATAACTTTGTGCCATTTTACAAGGTTGAAGGAAGAACAATTAATAGGTGTAGTACAGCTGTATTGTCATGCGGAGAAGGATAAAGTGAGTTTCACATTAAGGAAGTTTGAGTAATATTCAGCTGAGAATAAATATGCTGTTTGTTTTTCCAGATAAGGACGAATGTTCAAAGGACAATGGTGGCTGCCAGCATGAATGCATCAACACTGTAGGAAGCTATGTGTGTCAATGTCGCAATGGATTTGTGCTACATGAAAACAAACATGACTGCAAGGAAGGTCAGGGGGACTATGATAGAACAAATTGCTGTCTAAGCCCTTACCTATGCATTTGCACCTGTTGTAGGATAATTACAAAAACGTTTTATGTGATCTACAGTAGATAGTTAGAAACTACATAAATGTAAATACAGAACTCAAAACTATAGCTATTTGTGATGCTAGTGATGGTAGGCTGAGCCCCTGAATGCCAGTTATTAGCTGAGTTTGTTTTCAAACTTTTAAATGTTTTTAATCATTTAATGTACTTTATTTAGCATTATGTGTTTTTCTTAAAGTATGGTTTATTGTTTTTTAAATTTTACTTGTTTCAACTCTGTGAATCTCCTTGAGTTCGCTCACTGAGAGAGAGGCAGTCTATAAATGAGACTAAGTAAGTAAATAAGTAAGTAAGCAAGCTAGTAAGAAAGCAAGTAAATAGTGAATACTGAGTGAGCATTTCACATTGGGTTCCAGAAAATTCTGTTCGTTTCATGAAATAATGAGTGTGATTTTATTGCTACATGGCATATATTTTCCTCTAGACTCATTAATTTCTGTCTGTTGTTGGTACAGCTGAGTGTGAACAGAAGATCCACAGCCCAAATGGAATTATCACAAGCCCTAACTGGCCTGACAAGTACCCAAGCAGGAAGGAATGCACGTGGGAAATAAGTGCCACTCCTGGTCACAGAGTCAAAATAGTAAGTAATTTCATTATAGCAAAAGTCACTTGTACTTAGCATAAGATTGCCAGAACTTTGAAAAGTCAGTGTTTTGGACTGCAGCTGCTGCTGCTTTCTTTGTTCACATCAGAAACACAACGGTTCTATTAATAAATACATAATCTAATGTTCACCCAATAATGAGCAGCATCAAAAGGATCTGCTAGACTGCCAGTTCTCTAAACTCTGATATCAAGGTGAATTACTGGTGATATGGAGTAGATGATAACATCTGTACAGTGGTTTTCAAAGAATCCTTTAGCTGTTGTGTTTTTGCCAGATAGCTGTATATTTTGCCAAATAAGCAATTTTTCAAGAACATTTTATAAAAGTGTGTTATGGCCAGAGATTTAGCACAATAATTAATTTCTTGGGGTTTGGAAGTTAATGAGTGTGAAAGAAGGCTAAAGCATGTAGGTAAAATAATCATGTCACATTATAATAATTAGACATGAACACAGGCACCTTGCTCTGATATTGTTGCAAATCCTAATGATATCTCCGATCATGGTTTTACTTTATTTACACTTTCTATCACTTAGCATTCCAATTCATAGAAAGTAATATTCTTTATTAGCTGGCAGCTAGCAACGATCACTCCTCTAGCTTATTTTAGAAAAAAGCTTAGCTCTTTTCTCCACAGTATATTTGGCTATGTGAAAGTAGTATCTTAGGATAACATTTATGAGTACCAACCGGGATGGCTGTATAGCTGCTTGTATCCATAGTTTCCTTTTATTATTACTAATGCCTAAACTTCCTGAGAAATAAAAGAGTCAAGGAACTATATCACTGCTTCAGTTTGTATTGCTCGGTGCTTATTCTGTCTGTACTCTCTCCATTGCCAAAACATCAACAACGGAGCTTTCTGAAAGTTCCTCAAGGACAGCTGTTAATATAAAGTGGCATCACATTGTACTTTGGCTAGCTATCATTCAGTTGATTAGAGCTGCTTTGTTGTCCCAGACACAACATACAGCAGTTCTGTTTGCTCTGCATTTGACTCATGTTCAGCTTTTTCCTTTTAAATATGGTCCTTAATTCTCCAGTTTGCTTTGTTAGAAAGTTCCTCAGATATTCCTGCCTCCCACCTGATGAACTGTAGTCAGCTCCATTTTACAGTTTACAAGAGCCGAGCATGCTAAATGATATTTTCAGAAAGAACCTTTAGGCTGTAATCACAGTCACAGTAAACCTCACCAGACATAGCTGGACTTACTTCCAAATGCATGGGGTTACCTTGTCAGTTATTGAAAATGAGTGAGCTGTCTTTTTAACATGGATTTTAGTACATCAGTTTTAAAAGAGCAATCTTTGGAGTAACATCTGATTTTCATAAAGGCAGCAGTTCTGCAGAATAGGGATGGAGAACATGTGGTCCTCTAGATGTTGCTGCACTGTGACTCCCACCATCGCTCACAATTAGTTCTCTTGGCTACATGCTGATGGGAGCTTTTTAGTCCAGTAAGATCTTGAGAGCCACAATTTCTAACTGAAAAATGTGAATGTTGAACAGAGGAAAAATAGTACCATGTGATGAAAAAAGAAATGAGGAAAATGTAAGAGTTCTGTTCCATGCAGCATTTTTCCTCTTATTGGTAAACACTGGTTCTATGTTCATCCAAAATAGTACAATAGCCCTAAAATTTATTTTATATAATACTTTGAAAGTTCATGTTTTATTCTCTCTCTCTCTCTTATTTAATAATTTCATAATTGAAACTTTTGAAGGCGAAATGTTGTAAGTTAAGAAAGCATCATAGAATAGTCAGTTGAATATTGAGTTGTAGGACTCATTTTATTGATTGATTGATTGATTGGATTTGATTGATTTGATTTGTATCCCGCCCATCTGGTCTATACAACTACTCTTTTGTAACTGTAACTCATAATGTCTGTGGTGATTTCATAACTCGGGGCAATTTGCCTCCCAAAGTTACACCATTTATTTTGGCCTATATTTTGTAAATGCTTCGCTCCCCATTTGCCATGTATTTCAAATGCTTTGAGAAATATGAGCTGCTCCTGTCAGTGGCAAGAATGAATTTAGTGGAATATCTTTGTCTTCCAGATTTGCTTATTTCTTCCATAGATGATTACTAGGAATAAATGTATTAATCCCTTCAGTGTGAAAACATGGCCATTGAAATTGAAAACCATTGAGAGAGCTGTCTATTGGTTAGGGTTGCTGTTCAGCACTATTGCAAAAGGGAGTTCACAAACAAAACAAACCACCAGAGCAAATTGGGCTTGCGTAGGAGGATTCTTTAATGAATTATACCCAGTTTTTCACTGCTTTGCTCTTTCCATAATTGTTATGCCATTCAATAAGTGTCAGAGCAGCAGAATTCATACTCAGAATACAGACAAAATAATAGATTTGTATTTTATTACCTTTCCAGGTTTTTAATGAATTTGAAATTGAGCAACATCAAGAATGTGCCTATGACCATTTAGAACTATTTGATGGAGAAACTGAAAAGTCTCCAATTCTTGGACGTTTATGTGGAAATAAGATACCAGATCCTCTTGTTGCTACTGGAAATAAAATGTTCATTCGTTTTATCTCTGACGCATCAGTACAGCGGAAAGGCTTCCAAGCTACACATTCTACAGGTATGAACATAATTCTTGCTAGTTTCATTTAGAAATATTGAGAAATGTCTTAGGCCAGATTCTAACCTGGGGTGTCTTTATGTTTAGCAGACTTTTCAATGGAGTATAATCTAGTAGTATTGATTATCTTGCTGGTGTTAACATGTTTACATTAAAGATAGGATGTGGGGCTTCACCCTGGTAGCACCTTGAATCCTACAAACTTGAATGTTGCTATTACTCAAAATTATCTTAGAAAAAACTAAAGACACATATTAGTTTCTCTCCGGGTCAAGTATGGTTTTGTTTTCAGTTATTTCAGTTTCTTGGTTTACACTGACACCTAGTGTTGCTCTAATATTCTTCTGTATTCCAATATGCTCATAAATGTTGGACAGTCAAAATTAAGATTTGATTCTCTTTCATTTGATTTTGCATAGTGATGTGTCAACCTTCATTTGTCTCATCCTTGCAGTGCCTCATGAGAGGGCAGTGTATTTTGAGGCACTCACAGTAAGAATGAGAAAGAGAATAAGGTGTTGCACAAATTAAGTAACATGCAGAAATAACACTTAAAAACAAAACAAAAATAAAGAAGGCAAAAGCATTGTGGCACCTTAAGGATTAACTTCTATATTTTAATGTGACCTTTTGTGGACAGTCCACTTCAACACAAATTGCACAATATGATGAAAGCTAAGTGGACTTTTAGGAACTAAACAATTTGGAAGAATTGTTTATGTCTTTTAAAATAATGAGCAATTCTGTTCTTGAATATGGATGTACTTTACTTCTCAAAAGAAAAGGATACTACAGCTCCAAAATCATGAAGACTCTGATGAGAAAATAACAACACTTCTTGTTTGTCATCTTAATGCGTTTGCAAATTCCTCATCAGTGGCTGAATTCAGTTTATCCTGCACAATGAGGATTATGTCATTGGCCAGTGACTGAAATTTAATTTTTCATAACTTTTGGCAGTGATCTGGTAACAATTTTCCAATATGAAAGACTTCCTCCTCCCATCCTGTGGCTCCCATTGGCTTCCCAAGATGAAAAGGGATCCCTAGGAATGCTAAGAACCTGAAAGGGGGGGTGGGGATAGGAAGTTTTAAATTAAATTAAATTAAATATTTCAATTGCTGATTGAGAAGATCACAAAAAGATTTCAGCCAGTGTCTCTCAATGAGTGAAGACAGCTCAAATTGACAAGAACAAAGAGTTTAGAATTTTTTTGTTTGTTTTACTGTTTTTGAAAGATGGCTGAAACAATCTGTCTTTCTCTTCCTATTTTTTTTCTTCATCACTTTGCACAGAATGTGGTGGTCGTTTGAAAGCTGAAAGCAAACCAAGAGATCTCTATTCTCATGCTCAGTTTGGTGATAACAACTACCCAGTTCAAGCAGACTGTGAATGGCTAATAGTATCAGACCGTGGCTATCGAATAGAATTGACTTTTCAGACATTTGAGGTGGAAGAAGAAGCAGACTGTGGTTATGACTACCTAGAACTATTTGATGGCCATGATACCACAGCCCTAAGACTTGGTCGGTTTTGTGGATCAGGGGTAGGTAATCTTTCAGTTTTATTATTTTCAATGTGTTTATTACTTCTCAGTCCATGAGGCCCTCCAAAAATGCATTACTCATAGTGAGAGTTGGTTTAGTTCACCCAGGACCATACTATATGTCCCCACTTGCCACCTTGAGGTACCCACTAGAAAGAAAAGTGGAATAAGAACCAAATAATTAAGTAGATAAATTACATATAATCTGTCACAAAGCTGAAATGGAGAGATGAATTATAGGGCTCAGTGTTCTGTGTACTCATATTCAAGCTGTCCAGGGTTGGTAGTACAACACGCATCAGTAGTGATGGGCTGTTATTGGAAAAGGGTCAAAAAGTCCTCAAAATATAAGATAGCAATGCTAATTGCTGCAACCTAATCAGCTGTTGTTTCCAGAGTTTGTAATAATCTCTTTTCCCCCCTCTGCAGCCACCAGAAGAAATGTACTCAGCAGGTGATTCTATTTTACTTCATTTTCACACGGATGATACAATCAACAAAAAAGGATTCCATATACGATACAAAAGTATAAAATACCCAGATAATGTCCACACCAAAAAATAACACAAGGTACCTTTGATCACAAAATGAGTCAGAAAGAGCGACTTGTGGAGAAATAGAAGGGGAGAGAGAGAAAGAGAGAGAGGGGTGGATTTTTTTTCATACTGACCTTATTACTAAACAAGTTTTACACCAAGAATTCAAATGAAGGAAAGCCAAAACATCTCACTGTCAAATGTACTCCTGTTCTAACAGTACAGACATTATGGTGATGACGTGTGGTCTCCGTGTGTGGCTGTCTCTGCAAAGCTGGCAAAGGGGCATCACCTGCTTTCAAGGAGACTATTAAGAGCTTGACAAGTGTCCTAGAGGCCTGCATATTCAACAGTCAGATTTAGGGGGAAAGACCCTACAGACTTCTTTTGTTACGACAAGTGACTGGTGTCCAGGAGAGGAAAAAAGTTCACCTTCTGCAAGTCATGCACTCAAAAATGCTGTTCTTATATCCTCCTTACTGTAATTGCTTCAGTGGTGTATCCAGGATACAATACATACAAACAAAAGTCAGCAAAGAAGGGCAGCAGATCTTCTGAGATTTATTCCTTACTCATATTTCATCTATCCCATTAATGTATTAATGCCATAGAAACTGGAAAACCATGTCTGCAAAATCATTAGATCTTTAGAGAATTTTGATTATAGCAACACATTGGAATGTCTGACGCTTTTTACATTCATCATGATACATCTAGACCTTGGAGACTGTCAGTGACTGGGAAGACTGGATTTGTTACTGCTGACAGACTCTGTATCTGCTGACCTCTTACATGTTACACTTAGAATGATACAGGGAATGTGTCTTTTACAAGACTGCTGCAGACCTTTGTATAAAGAACAACAGAGGTTACCAGGACCAGAGTAATCCCAAATGCCAGTTGTGAGTTTCATTTTGATAGTAATGAACCGCTAGTCTACATTTCCTTGGAAATGTTTGTGAATGAGCTATTTGTTTGTTTGCTTTTAAAAAAATCATAAACAATTAAAGGTTTCCCCCCCAAAACCAGGTTTTCCAACCAATTGGGGGGGAAAGAACAAAGGAATTGTTTTCTGGAAATAAGACCCATGATGGCAAGATATTTCTATGGTGCTATTCTATGAACATTTTTTAAAAAAATATTCCCATAATCTAAAATATTCTAGACCTTCAAGCCAACAACCTGCAGATCATGAATGTCTCACAATGCCTGGCTGCATCTTAAGAAGGACAGACTTTCTAAGCATGTGAAAAAGAGAATTAAAATGGCAGCACAAGCCCTGTGGAACAACTACTACTATTGCCTTAGTATACTTGCACATGATCGTACAGATCTTCCTGTAGATAAACATCTGATTTGATACAGAACTTGATAGTTTGAACAAGTATTGTTCACAGAAGTGATCCTCAAGCAAATCCCCATCTGCAAAATCTGCAGACCAAGATCATCAGTTGTAAATAGTATGGACTTCCTGTTGATGTAGAAATATGTTACTTTTAGAACAAAGTATTGTATGTGCTTTAGGCCATACATGGCTTTAGTCACAGTGTATATGCATCATGTAAGTATGTATGAATGAGTTCTTCAAGAGAGTGAGAAGTGTGTGGATGGACAGGTAAATAGTAATTCATGTGCCAAGTTCCACCAGAATCCAGATTGACTGTAGCAACTTTCTTTAAAGCTTTCTTAAGTGGGTCAATAAAGAATCAAGAATGCGTGAATTTTATGTTCCATTCAGAAGAAATATTTTGATAACCTTTGAAGTTGGTTGCTACCCAGCTTAGTTTATGTTTCCTTACTGTGATCATACACTGGCATTAATAAATGTGTGGGGTTTTTTAAAAAAATAATAATAAAATAAAACTAAGCATGTGTCTGTCTTGCTGTTTATATTTAACTATGTGATTTTGCCTCCTAAATAACATAAACTTTATATCACCTTTGAAAATAATAATTTAGAAAGTTGGTTGACATTCCATTCTTCTGCCATCGCAGTAAAGAATGCATCTGCTATTTTTAATTCTGGCTTTAAAAAGATAGTAGCTCATTGACTCTTGACCAAGGCAAATCCCATGCTATGTTGCAATAAATACAGAATTGCACAGTGCCAGGTGTACACTTGTAACAACCTCTGAAAGACTTTTTGAGTTTCAAAGAGGGAGATCCTGTACTACATAGTTAACTAAAATCTGCTGAATGTGGAAAGCTGTAGTGATTGGAAATGCAGGCCAAGTTTCCTCTCCTCTGATGACAGTGCTATGTGTGGGGTAAGAGAATTCTTCTATTCTTCCATACTGATGGTCATTATAACATATTACACGTCTGTTATATCGTGATTAATTAATTTTCCTCTAACAAAAACAAAAGCACTTTTGTGATACTAATCTTGTATCACCAAGCATAGTTTTTTTTTGAATTATTTTTCAAAATTACTTGTAAGAAGCAGGCAAAACACATACCACCGAAATATGGCTGAAATTCTGTTTGTGAAACTAGGCCTGCGGAAGGCTGATTATATCATCAGCAGGGGGCAATTTTCAGAAATTAAACAGTTGCTAATTCTGTTGCACAGCTACTACAACTCCCGTGTATTAGTTTTCATAGTTTGGAAGCTATGGGAGCTGTGGAACAGGAGGTGGAAGTCTGTAATTGTCAAAAATTTCTGCTGCCAGATTGTAATGATTGGTAGTAGTTCTTTTCGGTAATTAAATACATCCTCCTCCTCTCCCACAGATCCCATGGCTTCCAATTGATGAAAGGGATCGCACATAAGCCATGGGTCAACATTAGGAGGTCTTCAGTTTTTCAACATCACCCCCTACTGACGGCATCATCAGTCATCCTGGAAGGAGTTGCGCAAACAACATTTCAGCCAGTAGGGCCAATTATGGCCAATGCACAGCTCTCACTGACTAGCTATGTGATATAATGATGTCATCATGTTCATGTTGGAATCCATAGATCATAAAGTGAAGAAGCATTTTCAGTTTCTAAAAGTACTGAATAAGTACAACTGAAGTTGAGGAAACAATTACTGCATAAGTAGGCACAAAACCTATGAAGGAAAGTAGATGGCCATATTGTACAGTATTTTAATTTTTCATAGGGCCTTCTGTGTCTTAAACTTCAGTAATCAAACCTAGAAATAAACATTTGGCAAAGTAATATTGAAAAATTATTTTGGTTGAGCTGGTAATTATATATATTTGTATATGGCTATGTGCCTATGAAGAAAATTCTGTACAAAGTGCATTTTAGGTTATTCCTAAATGGATTTAAAATGTTGTTACCAAGGTATTATGTTACTAAGGCATTACTAAGCCCAAGGTAAATTCAGTCATGGCCGAAACTATTGGCACTCTTGCAATTCTGTCAGAAAATGCAACCCTTCTCTAAGAAAATTGTTCCAGTTGCAAATGTTTTGGTACTCACATGCTTATTTCTTTGGTTTGCATTGGAACAGCACAAAAAAACAGAGAAGAAAAGTCAAAGCTGATACAATCCCACACAGAAACCCAAAAATGCACTGGCCAAAATTATTGGCATCCTTAACTTAATATTTGGTCGCCCCCCGTTTGAAAAAAATAACTGAAATCAATTGCTTCCTGTAACCATGAATGAGTTTCTTACACCTCTCTACTGGAATTTTGGACCACTCTTTCTTTGCAAACTGCTGCAGGGCCTTCAGATTTGAAGGATGCCTTCTCCCGACTGCTTGAGATCTCTCCACATGTGTTCTATGGGATTCAGATCTGGACTCATTGCTGGTCATTTCAGAACTCTCCAGTGCTTTGTTTGTAACCATTTCTGGGTGCTTTTTGAAGTGTGTTTCGGGTCATTGTCCTGTTGGAAGACCCATGGCCTCTGGTGGAGACCCAGCTTTCTGACACTAGCCACTATGCTGTGCTCCCAAATTCTTTGTAATCATCAGATTTCATGATACCGTTCACACAGTCAAGGCATCCAGTGCCAGAAGCAGCAAAGCAACCCCAAAGCATCTTTGAACCTCCACCATGTTTGACTGTAGGGACTGTGTTCTTTTCTTTGAATGCCTCATTTCTTTTTCTGTAAACAGTTCCATGATGTCCTTGACCAAAAAGCTCTATTTTGTCTCATCTATACACAGTATGTTCTCTCAGATGGATTGTGGTTTTGTCACATAAGTTTTGACATACTTAAGTCTTGCTTTTAATGCTTTGTGTCAGCAGTGGTGTCCCTTTTCAATCATATGGTGATGGATAGTGCGAGCTGACACTTTTTACTCTGTGTCTGCAAATCAGCTTGAAATTGTTGGGAAGTTAATCTGGGTTCTCTATTCACCATTTGAGCAACCCTTGGTTGTAATTTTTCAGTAATTTTGCTCTTCCGTCCACGTCCAGGGAGGTTAACTACAGTGCCATGAGCTGTAAACCTCTTGGTGATATTGCACACAGTGAACACAGGAACATTAAGATCTCTGGAGATGGACTTGTAGCCTTGAGATTGTCGATGTTTTTCCACATTGTTTTTCTCAAATCCACAGACAACTCTTCACACTTCATTCTTTTCTCCATGCTCCGTGTCACACACAACACAAAGGTTGAATCAACTTTTCTCCATCTTAACTGGTTGCAAATGTGATTACTATATTGCCCACACCTCTTACTTGTGACAGGTGTGTTTAAATACAAATTAAAGGAGCATCACATGCTTGAAAAGCAATTATTTCTTACAATTTAGACAGGGTGCCAATAATTTTGGCCAGTGCATTTTTTGATTTCTCTGTGAGAACGTATCCGATTTGATTGTTCTTCTCTATTTTTTTGTGTTGTTCCAGTGCAAACCAAAGAAATATGTGAGTACCAAAACATTTGCAACTGCAACAGTTTTCTTAGATAAGGGTTGTATTTTCTGACAGAATTGCAAGTGTGCCAATATTTTTGGCCATGACTGTAAAAGTCCTTCATATTACCTATTAATTCAAAAGTATCTAATTCTCTTAGATTTGTGAAAGAACTAAAACATTCTTAAAAATAGACCTTTATCATCAATAGTGCTTTATTTTACTCTATTTATTGCTCTTGTCAATATTATTTGCTTATCCTGATTATAACTTTGATCAGCAGAATGATTATATTTTGACACTATTGCTTAATATTTCAAGAGTTGCCAATTTAGCCTTGGTTTCATGTGCTTCCCCCCTTTCCATGTTGTGGCTATGAGGAAGAAATTGGATGATTCTCCTTTGTAGGTTTTTCAGGCTGTTTGGCTGTGTTCTGGAGGTTTTTCTTCCTACCATTTCACCAGTCTCTGTGGCTGGCATCTTCAGAGGACAGGAGTTAGAACTCTGTATGTGTTCTGGTGTAGTGTGTGTCCCGGTTTGTCCTCCTACCTCCTGCCAGAGTCATTCATAGAATCATGGTGGATTGGTGAATGGACCGTCTGGCCCCATGGGACTGGGCCTTTGTTAATGCAACCTGTGCAGGGATATTTGCGTTCGTATACAAATACAAATACCCCAATCTCTACTAGTTACCAATATATGAGGGGGTGCTGATAAATATTGAGCCTTTCCCAGAAAAAAATTGTGCTAGGAAGCACTAACTGCCATACTATTCTACATATTCCCCCAGGAAGTCAATGCACTTGCGACATCTGTCCTGCAGCTTCTTAAGTCGCTGCAAATAAAATTATTCCGACTGCTGCTATAACCACTCATTTGCAACATTGGTTGCCTCCAGAACACTCCCAAATCATTGTCCCTTTAGTTTTTTTTGAGTTTGGGGAACAGAATAGTCAGAAGGAGCCAGGTCGGGAGAATAGGGTGGATGGGGCATCACTTGAAAGCCTAAGGACATCAGTTTTGCCATTGTTTCACCTGCAGTGTGTGACAAGGCATTGTCATGCAACAGGATGACACCTCTGGAGAACTTTCCTCAATGTTTTTCCTTGAAGTTTTGCCTCTAGTTCATCAATAAAGCACAGTAATATTTTGCATTGATGGTTGAACCGTGTTGGAGGTAGTCCACCAGCAGAACTCCCTTCTTATCCCAAAAAACTGTTGCCATTTGCTTCTGCACCGACCTTTGCACCCGGAACTTCTTTGGCCTGGGGGAACTACTGTGCTTCCATTCCTTAGACTGTTCCTTTGTCTCAGGATCATAACAGTAGATCCATGTCTCATCACCAGTTACCAGTTTGCCCAAGAAATCTGACTTATTTCTTGCAAAATGTTTCAAAACAGCCACTGACGACTCCACATGTTTCCTGTTTTGTTCATTTTTCCAAAGTCTGGGGATCCACTTTGCTGCCAGCTTTCTCATTTCCAAGTTGTTGTGGATAATGGCACCAACTCTGTCATGTGATATTCTCAGATATATAGCAATACTTTTGGCTGATATTCGGCGGTCCTCCATGATCATGTCATGGATGGCTTTCACATTTGCGGGCATAGAGACAGAAACAGGCCTTCCACTGGGTTTTTCACTTTCAACACCGAAACGGCCAGTTTTAGAATTGACAACCCAACATTAACTGTTGTATATGAAGGGCCACTATCACCCATAGTTTGTGACATTTCATCATGGATCTGCTTTGCACCTTTTCTTTGGAGAAACAGGAACTTGATTATGGTCCTATGCTCTTCCACACTGAACTTTTCTGGAGGTGCTGCCATGTTCACTTTGGACCTGAACATGAAAGATAAGTTAAAATCATAGGTAGCTGATTTTTACACCACTGAATACAGACAAATTAGCCAATACACCCTGCAATTTATAGCTTCCTAGTTCAATTTTTTTTCTGGGAAAGGCTCAATACTTAACAGCAGCCCCTCGTACCTGGAACAA